TTTTTTCAGAGCAGTGCCCATGCTGTTTGCTGGAGGACACAAGGCCCACGTGGCAGAGGCTGGCTGGCAAATTTCTCCTGCCACATATCAATCAGTCGCTCTAGCAATGTGGGGCTTGGTGGGGGGGGGAGAGGAGGGGAGCCTCATGAAAGCACATAGGCTTGCCCAGAGTCGAGCCCTCAAGCAGTGATATGGGATTTCCAGTTGTCATTCTCACTGTTATTGAGAGGATAATGGCACATCAAGTCTCCAATAACTGGTCAACCATCTGCTTTGAGCAGGGTGGTAATTCCATCAGGACGAAGAAGCACAGCTTACCCACTCCCATGCTTACTCTGCCTGTCGGGTTTCTCTGTTCAGGTCATACAAGAGGACTCATTTTAACATTCTAATTCCAATACAAATGCACTGCCGACTTTCACGGGCTGTAGATTTGCTGCCTAATGATGCAATGCCTCAGGACGTTCTCCTGCACAAACCCTACTGAATCGAAGAGCAGCCACATAAGAACATGGCTAGGCTCTTATGCAGTGTCCATTCATCCCCAACAGACAGGCTAACAGAACTTAAGAAGCATCCCTAGAAATTTCACAATTAAAAAAAATTCCTCCTAATATAGGTCTGCAGAACTTGTGACCTAAACAAGCTAAAAAGGGCCTGCAAAGCATGTATTGTGACCTGATGTGTATGCTTGACAATGTTGGTTGCATGCAAGCCGGAAAACTGGAGCGTTTCTCAACACACAAACCGTGGGTGGGCTGCCATCGGATTAGCAGCATTTGGTTTGGTGAGCAGCAAGATTGCTCCTGCATCGCAGTGGCTAAACTTCTCGTGCTTCATACTAATAAATCTACTCCCCCCCACGCTTTACTTGAGTGCAACATTAGTCAGTGCTGCGTCAGTTTGCTGGGCAGAACCACCATCAAGGGGGCATTGGCAATTCCCACCCTTAGCAGAAAGCACTGGAAGGCAGCTGTTGATGCCTCCGTCAGCAGCAGTGACATCCTCGGTAGAGTGGAACTGGCCAATCAGCCACTGGCCAATCAGCCACTGGCCACTAGCACAGCACTGATTGAGGCTTCTGCCTTTCTCCCACTGCTGCTTCTTTGCACTTACCCTGTAGCTGCCACTGTCAGTTCTAGCTCGTGAACTTTTTTTTTGCCAAATAATGCTGTGTGTGTGTGTGTATAGAGGGAAAGCAAAAGGAGACATTAGTGTCCTGTGAAGATCCTTCAATTATATCCAGCTAACAGACACGGTTAGTGGGAAGATCAAGCCTTCTGAAGGAGATTGTTTCCCCCAAACATTGTGAGTCAAGTCTGGCCTTCCTGTGGTCCAGCCTTCTGCAACCAAGGAAATTCCAAGAGTTTAACAGAGGACCCAAGCTGGCCAAATCAGAATATTCAGCCCGGTTATTTGAACCAGCTCTTTAAAACAGACTGGTTTAAAAGGAAATCCAAATTTAACACAAAGACATTTTAAGAGATCATAAGTGCAGACTCTTTAACACCATGGTCCTCCCCACGGTGTTATTCTGCCTGCCAAAGTGTTCCCTGGCAGCAACATAATCCTTCCCTAAAGCAAAGAGCCAGCCCTGACTTTCCTCTATGTCGTTGGAACAGGAGGTGTTTCAGAAGAGCCCAGAAGGCATTGCTTTTATATCTTTTTGGGTCATCTATTTGGGAAAGTGCCTCCAACATAAAAGGATGCTTTGCATGGAATATTGGGTGGAACATTTTGTTCAACAGTTTGCAGTCCCCCCCCCCCCCCCCCCCCCCAGCCATTCTGTTGTAGTGCCATCTACCTGTTCTCTAGATTACAAAAGTGTCCACTGGTTCAATGAGGTGGGAGATTTTTGCCTTGGTCCTCCAAAAAACGCACTGAGAAAAAGCAAGCTTTAACAGCATATAATACTATAAACCAGGAGCTGTATATCTGACTTCTTATTCATTTTATTGCTTTTATATTCCTCCTTTCTTCCCCACTTTTTTCATGGAAGTGACTTACACAGAATTCCTAGCAGCTCTCTCATCCAGGCACTGACCAGACCCAGATCTGATGATCTTTTATTTATTTATTTATTTATTACTTTCGTCTTACTATCCCGCTCTAATCCCCGAAGGGGTCTCTGAGCGGCTATGCAGTTATCCATTTGCAAGGCTATTGTACATTTTATTCCATGCCTTGGGACTTCTGAAGTCAAGCACCATAAATATGACACAAGAGGCCATGTATTTAAGCAGTCAGCCAAAGAACATGGGCATGAAGAAATGCAACTTTGCCCAGCAGTTACTGGCCTTTGTTTCTGGAAAGTTCAGGGAACTCAGCCTGCAAGAAAGCTATCTAGCTTAAATCCTTCCTTTCATACTTGCTCCCATATCTAGCAGTGCTGCTCTTGTCCTATGCAGAATTACACTCTCCTAAATCCATTGGAGACTATGTGTTTAGAAGAGTGTAATTCACTGTGAATTCTGTAGGGCAAGGGGCATACAGGTAGCAACACCTGAAGCAGAACATCACCCGCCTCCTCCCTGCTTTGGCTTTTGGGACATTATTTCTGAAATCCTAATGAATATTTGCTAAATGGGAAAGGAGCCCCATTGAAAACAATGCCGTTTATTTGACTGGCAACTTAAAGCATGATTTAAATCAGTGCTTTAAACCAATATGCCCTGCCAATAAGTGTCTACGTGCTGCCTAAGTGGAGCAACCAAAACAGGATTGTCAAAGGTGGTGATCCAACCATCTTCCACGTAGCCGTCCTTCCAATGTGGCTCTTCCTCCTTAGACTGGAGGAATGCTTCAAACCTGAGTCAAAAGGAACAGTGGGGTATAAACATTTTAATAAAGAAATAAACTTTGCTCAGAGTAGTGGTAGGATAGGGGTAGGATCCAGCCCGAGGACACCAAGCATGGCTGGTGGGTGGCATTTATCTTGGTGGGTCACAAGTTACGCAGCACTGTACTAGTGTCACAAAATCTTTTAGACTGCCTCACCTCAGCTACATCCTTTCCAATCAAGAAAAAGGGCAAGTAATTCAGCACTCTCTCTTACTGGAAAGCACAATGATTGCAGGAGTCTTCTGTCCAGCTTTGTCTCTTAAAAATGGAACCATATTAGAGCAAACCTGCAAATAAGTCAGAGATGCTTCAGAAAGTGTATCTAAAACTATCTAAAAAACAAAGTTTGAGTCCAGGGGCACATTTAAGACCAGCAAAGTTTTATTCAAGGTATAAGCTTTCACGTGCACTGGTTTAAAACGGTATCTGAAGAAGAGTGGCACTGGATTCAAAGTTTGTTCTGCCACTTCAAACCAACACAGAGATGCAATAAAGATGGTACATCCCAAGTTTCAACATTTTCTCCCCCCCCCAAAAAAAAGAACTTGCATTTCATTTTAATATAAAAACTGTCTTGCTGGATGAGGCCATCTGGCTCAGCACCTTCTTTAGTAATTTCCCCACCCCCAATGAAGGAGCGAACAGAACACAGAAGGGGTACTTCACTGCTGAAGTTACTGTGGTACTTCACAGCTGTTCTCTGAGAAAGTAAATGGATGCACCCTTCTGAGCACTTCATCACACGCTTCCATGAGATGAAGAAACTAGAGGCAAGGATGAGTCAATTTGACTCTTTTTGGAGGGGTGGCAATGAGAGGAGGCAGAACACGGTCAGATTTGTGCCCTTTTCATTAACCCCTCCCCCCGACCCTGCTACCTACCATACAGCCTGCAGGAAACCCTAGGAACTGAACTGACTTTTGATATCACTGACACAGCCTATTTGATGTGCTAGTATGTGTGTGAGAGTGTTTGTGTTTTCGGTTTTCTTTTGCAACATCTTCAGCCCATCTTGGAGACTCCATCTCTACCCAATTATTTTAGACTTTAGAGGCTTGCAAGCTGGACCAATTTAAACAGTATTTCTGCAGCCGACTGTATCCATCATGACAAAATTCTCTGAGGCTGCCATCTTAAACATGCATCCTCAGAAGCAAATCCCTTTCAAAATGAAAAGCCCTTCTCCACCCAATTAAACTGGGTTCAGATTAGGTTGCATTTTTTTAAAAAAAATACAAGTTAGGAGGAACTTCAGATTAATCAGAGAAACATCCCATACAGACAAAAAACAGTCTTTTATAGCAGCAATCCTAAATGTGCTTATTAGGGAAGAGAGCCGATCTGGTGGGGATTACTCCTGAGTAAGCATGCACTAGACTGCCCTGCCCAGACCTAATCAAATCAAACTGCACTGCACAGACCTAATACAATCAACCTGCACAGATCTAATCCAATCAAACATCCCATCTACCCCCAAGGCTGTCCGGGGCGAACTGCCGACTTGCCCTCCGAGGAGGCCCAGTGGAGGCGAACGGCAGTGAGATCTGAAGCGGCTTGGAATCCAAACGGGGCCCTCTCCTGCCGCCTCTTTTGGTTCCACAAGCCGTGGAAAGGCAGCTCAGCTATGCGGAAGGCACTCGGGAGGCTCTCTCCCTTTCAGCCGGCTGCCCTCTTGCTGCGAATGGCCACTCGGCAGAAGAGGCGGGGAGGGGGGGGAGTAACGGTGCAGGGAAAAGGGCAGCTTCTCCGCCAAGGCGAGCAAGAGCCCGAGCGAGCGAGCGAGCGAAAGGGGTGGTGGTGGTGTCAAGGGCGATCCCCGCAACGGAATCCGAAGGGGGGACTCTAATTATTGCCCTCCTAGCCAAGCGGTGCCACGAGCCATCCAAGGAGTCGATGCGCCCCTGCCCCTCTCCCCCAAGCGCCCAAACGCACCCTCGGAGCCCACCGCTCTGCCCGCGACCGAGCCCACCTTCCCGAAGCCCAGCCTGCCTGCCTGCCCCCCCCCCCCTCGCCATGCAAGAGCCGAGAGGACGCCTCGACTCACCCATGGAGTCGGAGAGGGGGATTGCGCTGGGACGCGGCTGAGTCAGGGCCTGGCGCATGGTGGCGGCTTCTCCGGCGCGCTCCTTGGCGCTGGCGGGCCTGTGGGGCAAAGGGGGCTTCGCGGCACCTACCGACCGCCGCACATCCGCCCTCCCTCTCTCTCTCCCTCTCTCTCTTTCTCTCTCTGCCCGAGGCTCGTGCTCCGGGCGGCAGCTAGAGGCGGCCGTCGACGCTTGCGCAAGCCGGAGAGGACGCAGCCAGCCCAGCTCCCTACAAAACGAGGGGAGGGAGAGGGGCTTCCTGCGGAAAAGGGTAAAAGTCGGATCTACATGGATCCTCATGAATTCATATGATTTTACATTGAAACGAAATAAAACTACAATCATGTTGTAGGCCATGTGTTAATCTATAGAGGGCACCACAAAAAACATGCATCCACATATTTGTGGCACCACAACAGCGCAAACACATGATTCCAAAGCATGGACCCTCATGAATTCATATGATTTTTAGCTGAAACAAAATAAAACCACCATCATACTGCAGACCATGCCTTAGACTATAGGCAGCACTCCAAAAATCATGCCCCCACGAATTCGTGGCACCACAAAACTGCAAAAACATGGTTCCAAAGCACGGATCCTCAGGGTTGTTCAATTGGGTCACTCCAAACACACCATCAAATCACATAACACGTCCACAGCTTGCACCACAAAAATCACAGATCCACGGCTTCGTGGTGACACCATTCTGCCGCAGTGGGCAGCCATAACTTTTTAAAGAGCCCCTAACAAGACCTGGGGGAGCCAGAATGACCTCTCGCGCGAGAGGTGGAATTTGCCCGTAGGACTCCAAGGCCACCACCCCGGGGCTCAAAGAGGCGGAGGAACATTTCGCGCCCCTCCCTCCGTTGCCGCTGCCATTAGTGCTGCTGCCGCCGCGGGCAGCCATAACTTTTGAAAGAGCCCCTAACAAGACCTGGGGGAGCCAGAATGCGTTGCTCGGCCATCACACCCGAGAGGTGGAATTTGCCCGTAGGAACGTTTCACGCCCCTCTCCCCACGCCATTGCTCCTGCCATTAGCACTGCTGCCTCTGTGGGAAGCCATAACCTTTTAAAGAGTCCCTAACAAGACCTGGGGGAGCCAGAATGACCTCTCATGCCGCTCGGCCATCACACGCGAGAGGTGGAATTTGCTGGTAGGACTCCAAGGCCACCACCCTGGGGCTCAGAGAGGCGGGGGAACATTTTGCGCCCCTCCCCCCGCCGTTGCCGCTGCCATTAGTGCTGCTGCAGCCGCGGGCAGCCATGTGCCCATGGACATCAGATGGGATTTGTTGGTGTGTTCATGATGACCCAACGCAAAAGCCTTGAGGATCCATGGGAATCATGCTTTGGAACGATATTTTTGCAGCATGTTGCCATGGATCCATGAATTCTGTGGAGCAAGTAGTGGCCATGGACATGATATGGGATTTAATGGTAAGTTTAGGTGTTCCAACATAAAAACCCCAAGAATCCATGAGGACCCATGCTCCAGAACCATGTTTTGGCTTCACGGTATTGCCACAAAGCCATGGATCCATGACTTTTGTGGTGGAAGCTGTGCCCATTGACATGATATGTGATGTGATGGTGAGTACATGGTGACCCAACACAGAAACACTGAGGATCCATGAGGATCCGTGCTTCACAACCACGAAGCCCGGGACCCATTAATACTGTGGTGTAAGTAGTGGCCATGGCCATGGTATGGGATTTAATGATATCTTTGGCGTGTCCCAACACAAAATCCCATAGCATTCATGAGGATCCATGCTCCAGAACCATATTTTGGCTTCATGGTGTCACCATGAAGCCATGGACATGTGATTTCTGTGGTGCATTCTGTGGCCATGGACAAGGTATGTAATTTAATGGTGATGTTGGAGTGACCCAACACAAAAACCTTAAGGATCCATGAGGATCCGTGCTTTGGAATAATGTTTTTGCAGCATTGTGTTGCCACGAAGCCGTGGCAACATGAATTCTATGGTGCAGGCTGTGGCCATGAACATGATATGGGATTTAATGGTATGTTTGGGATGTCCCAACACAAAATCCCCAAGGATCCATAAGGATCCGTCCTTTAGAATCATGTTTTTGCAGAATGGATTCACCACGAAGCTGTGGATCTGTGAGTTTTGTGGTGCAAGTTGTGGCCGTGGATGTGCTATGTGATTTCATGGTGTGTTTGGGGTGACCCAATTGAAAAACCGGGAGGATCCACGAGGATCCGTGCTTTGGAACCATTTTTTTGTAGAATGGGGTCGCCACGGAGCAGTGGACATATGATTTCTGTGGTGCATTCTGTGGCCATGGACAACAAGGCATATTATTTGATGGTGATGTTGGGGTGACACAATGGAAAAATCATAAGGGTCCAACCATGTTTTTGCAGCATGGTGTTGCCACAGAGCCGTGGCACCGTGATTTCTGTGAAGCAGGCTGTGTCCATGAACATGATATGGGATTTAATGGTATGTTTGGGGTGTCCCAACACAAAAACCCCAAACATCCATGAGGATCCGTGCTTCAGAATCATGTTTTTGCAGAATGGATTCACCACGAAGCTGTGGATCTGTGATTTTTGTAGTGCAAGCTGTGGCCGTAGACATGTTATGTGATTTGATGGTGTGTTTCGGGTGAACCAGTTGAAAAACCCTGAGGATCCATGAGGATCCGTGCTTTGGAACCATGTTTTTGCAGTTTTGTGGAGCCACGAATTCATGGGGGCATGATTTTTGGAGTGCTGCCTATAGTCTAAGACATGGTCTACAGTATGATGTAGGTTTTATTTCATTCCCGCGTAGAAATCATATGAATTCATGAGGATCTGTCCTTTGGAATCATGTGGGTGCCCCTTGCAGACTAACACATGGCCTACAATATGATGGTGGTTTTATTTTGTTTCAGTATAAAAATCATATGAATTCATGAGGATCCATTTAGATCCGACTTTTACCCAGACCCGCTTCCTGCCTGCCTGCCCACGCTTTTGCGCAGCCGGCTGGCCACAACTGGGCAAACGTCCGCTCCGGTGGGTTATTGTCTGCATATATGTTCCTGCTGGCTCCGATCCATCCTTGGAAAGGGAATTCCTGAGTATCATTAGGCAAACATGAGAAGCCACGATGAGCTCGGATTCAGGGTTGCCACCCTACTCAAGAGCCTCCCCATGTTGACTCGAAAATGAGTCCCAAGCACAGATAAGGTGGACTGATGGGTAGCCTGTCTTGACTGATCACCAGTCTTTCCCACCCATCAATTGACTGATGAATGATGGAGTCAGTAAACTTCTCTAGATGTCCAACCACATTATAGATTCCCTGTTTAGATCATTGAAGGAAGGAAAGATGATGTACAATTTAATGAAGACACTGCTCTTATCCATTGAAAAATAAAGCAAGATTCCATTGGCACTGTCAAGATGAACAAAATGTATTTCAGCATAAACTTTTAGGTTGCATATAGTTTCCATCCCTAACAACTAACTTGTATTATAACTCTAGCTGCTATAGTTGGCACTATCTGCATCTGATGAAGTGACCCTCTGACCAACAATAGCTTATGCTGGAACAGGACTGTCAAGTGCTAATGAACTCCTGTTTCGTTTTGCTGCTACAGACTAACACAGATATTCCTGTGGAATTTTCTCTGCAGAAAGAAGGGGTCACTTTTAATTAGTCTTTAATATTTAATATTGCATTTAATACATCAGAACCAAAATAACCTCAAAATTATAGAGGAGTGCTTTTAAATCTCAGTTCCATTGACTTAAACTGTCTCCCACCCAATTAATCGAGTTTCATAAATCTGCTAATCAAGTCAATGAACATTTGCTCCCTTAGATTTGTTTATTTGGTTATTTATATTCCACCTTTCTGTTTGTCCAAGGCAACTTGTTTAATTTTAATATTTTATTGAACAAAGCACTGAGCCTGTCAATCAATAGAACAATAAAATATTAAAATTAAACAAGTTATCACATTAAGCAAAACAAGCGAAGCAAACTGCAGCATAAAAATCAAATTGCTGAATGCTCAGCTGAAACCTGATGCCAGCAATGAATCAGAGTCCTTCAATGAAGAAAGGATGCATCAACATTAAGAATTTAAAAGTTTCATAAGCAACAAATCCACAAAACAGCTATACATTACTGAGTTCATTCTGTAGGCATTGCAGAATGAGGGTACCAGGCAGCAGCATCCTAAGCAGTTACTCCCTTACACAATACAATGTTCTTAGAAGGGTATAACTTTGTTTAGGATGGCACAGCAAGTTTCATTCACTTTACATATACTTTTAAATCTCTGAAGCACTGTCAACATTACTAATTTAATCAATTCCCGTATCTCAATCACTCATTCTCTTTAGAAGTCTATGCTCTCCAGCAGTGTGCAAAGTCAAGCCTTGCTGCAGCTGACAAATTTAACATGATGTCTTGATGTTGTCTCAGAATTGGCACTATGGAATCTAACAGGAAGGTTTCTGGTAAACATGAGAGATCCATATTCCTAATATAGTATTAACAACCACACTCCCAACATTTTGCTCCCTCATAATTCTTTCTTTGGCAGCTCCTCTGAACTAGTGAACAGCATGTGGAACTTGTGTGAGGAAAACCTGGTTTCCCAGTCCTTTTCGTGGTACTGCTTTGAGCATTGGTGTTGTATAGTGGTTAGAGTGTTGGCCTAGGGCTTGGGAAGTTTGCTGGGTGATCTTGGACCAGTCACACACACTCAGCGGAATCTACATCACAAGGTAATTGTGAAGATAAAACAGAAGAGAGGAGAACAATGTAAGTTGCTTTGGGTCTCCATTGTGGAGAAAGACCGCATATAAATCCAGTAAATAAATAAAAAAAAGATTGTAAATTCCCAGTGCTGCTCTATGTAGGATCATTGGCTGCTGTAATTCTGTGTACCTTAAATACTCCAGGAGCTGAAATCAATTGGTGGTTTTTTCCCTCCTACATTTTTGCAATGAACGTAAAATTCAGCCTTATTGGCACAAAAAATGGTTCTTAGTTTCGGCTTTGGGGCTTTTAAGTCATATATGCAAAATTCATTAACAGGGAAATTTACCAAAACACTTGAAACAACAGGAGAGCCATTCCTCAGTTCAAACCCATTCTGCTTTCTCATCCCAGATGTGTGGAGGTGGGCTGTGTTCATGAAGAAAATGTACTGGGCACATGGATCAGAGATAGTCTTGTTATTATTAGTAGTGGATAGACCAGGCTAGCCTGATCTCATCAGATCTTGGAAGCTAAGTAGGGTTGGCCCTGGTTAGTATTTGGATGGGAGACCATGAAGGAATACCAGGGTCTCTATGTAGAGGCAGGCAATGGCAAACCACCTCTGCAAATTGAAAGCAAAATAAATAAAGATCCAAAAGTGGTCTGGGATTCACTCCTGCCTTAAAATAACCCAGTATGTAAGTAGCACGGTGATAGACACGTTTATTGTTGCATGAAAAACTGTCTCATATTTACTGTTTGTATTAGAGATATTCAGGCAAGACTATGAAAATCTCTCACTGAGTCTCGATTCCCGTGGTCAAGGACTACTGGGGCATTTTTGCTTGTAATAGCTGAGGTGCTTTTTTTAAATTGCTGAATAAAAATTGGAAGCACATTAATGCAACTGCCTGAGATGAATTTTGTCCAGCACTAAAATATGTTAAGCACTTCAGTGGAAGAACACTGTCCTTGAGGCTGCAATCCTGCACACATTTAGTGGCAAGTACGCCCTCCTCAACAAAGTGAGTCTAACGTCTCAAGCAGGACTTAAGCAGGACTCCCAAGAGCAATCAGTGGCCCCCATACAAAGATTCTCTCTCACATCACCCCAACCAAACCTAACCCATCATAGGAAAATTAATTTTGTCTCCCTTGAGAGCTAATGTGGTGTAATGGTTAGGCTATCAGACCAGGGGATCTGGGAGCCACAGCTATAAACCCCTATTTTGCCATGGAAGCTGGCTGGGGCAACCCTGGGCTAAGCTCCATCTTAGCCTAACCTATTTCACAGGGTTGTTGTTGTAAAGATAGAGGGGGCAGGAGAATGATGTTGTAATCCACTCTGAGTTCTAATGGGGAAGAAAAGTAGGGTATAAATAAATATAGGATTGGAGTGTACATCTTTTCCACATAAATCAATGAGCCATAACATACAATTCCTTCCTTTCTTTTCCCCGTGTTCTGTTCCTGCAATCTCTTTATTTTTATTACAAAAGTGTAATCTTATAATTATTTTATTTGAACTGTGCTCATTTACGTGGATGTGTCCATTATTCAAACACACAGAACAGCAGAGCAGATTGCAATCATAAAGAATCTAGCCAGAAGAGCAATCATATCCAGAAGGGGGCAGACTAAAGAAGATATTCAAATGAAATCTGGACCCCCAAGCAGTGTAACATGAAGCCACTTACAGGGACAACAGACCTGGAACCAAAATAGAAAAAGGATTTGGAAATTACTGCTCTCCTGCGGCAGAGACAGCATGTCACTTCTGTCCCAATGTGGCAAACATAATTTATGGGCATTATACTTAATCCAAAGCTTTAATATGGGGCACAATATTAGTGTGTTGCTGGGAAGGGTTTTCTTATTTTGGTATTTCAGGAAAGAGCAGAACATAGCCAGGTCTTTGGGATAGTAGTTAGCAAAACTGTCTGGAGTATTTGGCAGATACACTGGAAGATCTACTGAGGATTTGATTGATTCCACAAGAAGTTCCCAATACAACCATGATCAAGTTTATTAACTTCCCTCCTCCAAGAATGGCTTCCCCCACAGCTCTCTTCTGCCTTTATCTGCAGTAAGGATCCAAAATAGCTTACATCATTCTTCTCTCTCCCATTTTATCAACCCTGTGAGGTAGGTTAGGCTGATGGATGAGGAAGATTTTAAATTTTTTGCTGAGCAAAAATTGGAAGCTCATTTCACTCCTAATGCAAACTCAGAGCAGTGATTCATGCATATAGGCAATGGGCAGCCGCTGAGAGTGGGTAATTCTGCTGTGTCTTTGCATCAATAGTAATGGAATGATTCTACTGTCTCTGATACAGAGATGGGGGCCAGCTAAGAAGGATGAAGGAGGTGAGGCCAGAGAGAGCAGTAAGTCATGCTGAGACGGCCTTCTCCAAGGGTGGCTAGCTTGGGTTCATATGAACCATGCATGATTTCATTTCTTTCTTTCTCATGGTGCACTGATGTGCCATAAAAAAACCCCAGTGTGGACATAACTGTTTCAGGACAACTGATCGTTTTCTGCTGTTTTGGAAATTTTGGAGAGTCTCCCAAGCTTTTCTGTATGCATAGCTAAAGCATTTTGGTTTTTCCCATGCCTCTGGAACCAATCACTTTGTAGTGGTGGTGAGGCTTAAGGGCAGGCACCATACAATGATGTGAAGCAGCAAAATAAAAGTAATAGTAATAATAACAACGTCCCACTAAGGGTTTGTCAATCGGCTCAGTGCTCTGACAGAACACTGGAAGGACAGATTTAATACTTTCTGAACAATAGGTTAGGACAGGGGTCCTCAGCTTTGTTGACATTTTTGGAGTTTTGACATCGGGTATTGGGTGCCACCACAAAATGATTGCCATTTGGTTCAATCACAAGATGTTGGGAGGTTCCTCCTATGATGGAGGCAGCTGTGCCTCCTGCGGACAAACAATGATGCCTTCTGGACTCTTCTGAAGCACCACTGAACTGGAGGAAAGCCAGGATTGCCTCTGTGCTTTGGGCACAAAGCAAGTAAGCGTCAGGGGGAACACATTGGCAGACACCCAAAGGCACCGTGCAGGGGATCAGTGGACAACAACGCTGCTTGAAGGTTTTCCTTTCTAAGGAAAAGGGCTACAAGTTGGCTATTTTATTGAAATGCAACCCATTTGAGAGAACAGGACTAGCATTTCTCTAAGTCAGTGACCCTCAAGCTTTCTGAAGTGGGGCTACTTTTTAGAATCCACTAAGCTTATTCAATTTCAATTTCAATTTATTACAGGTCTTTATGACCGAAGTCTTGACCAAGAGGATACCAAAGGGGGGTAAAATAGGTACATAAAATAGACATAAATATGTCAAGGTACATAATAACAGTCACATAAAACCCAGGCTGAGCCCAGAGATTAAAAATAACCTAACTACACTTGGGGCGGAGCCAACTAACTAAAATCATCCGAAGATTAAAAATCGGTGTCGAAGTTTTCAGAAGTGCTGGACTTATTGTAGTTCTCAGGACACCCTCGCAAAGTAACCTCAGACTACTTCCTACCAAAACCTGCAAGAATCTCACATCAGGTAACATTGAACCCATTTATATTTTTCATGTTTAATATTTATATAAATATACCATGATTCTGACACAGGGCTGTATTTCTTGGCTATCTCACACATTATGTGGAGGCAAGCTCAGATGTGCCATCCAGCCTCCTCTCCCAGCTCATTCTCCCCCCCCCTTCTAGCCTTACGACACACCTGTAAGAGAGTTATGCCCCACAGTCTGAGAATCACAGCAGCAGGCCAATAAAATGCCTGGGATTTGAAGACAAAGAGAATTCCAAGTCAGGGTGTAGACTTTCCAAATTCCGGGGGGGGGGGGGGCTGGGGCTGGGCCAGAGGCATTGCTGTGCCAGGTCCTTAAAAGAACCGAGGCCCAGTGACATCATAGGGAGGAGCCAGTGATGTCACAGGTCATTGTCACTATTTATGGAGGCGGAGCCATGTGGGATTTAGGAAGGGGTTCTCCAGAAATTTAGGGGGACCTGGAAAATCTTGAGAACCCCCCTAGCCAGGCCCAACGGCTCAGAAACAAAGCATGGCATGGGCAAAATCCTCTACATAAAACCCTGGAGAACCACTGCCAGTCTGAGTAGACAATGATGACACTGATAGACTGATGGTACAGAAATCATGCTTTGTGTGCCAAAGGACAAAGGTTTAAACCGAGAAGGTCTAAGAAAACGGGTGTTGGAAAGGATCTTTCTTTGTGTGAATCTCTAGAGATCACCTACATCAGAGCAGACCATGCTGAAGTAGATGGACCAATGGCATCATGGGGGGAGGAGAGAAGTGATTGCTGGATAAAAAAAGAATACAGGGGAGGGGGGGAAGATCCCTAGCAACCGATACCAAAAGGAAAGGGAGAGGTGGTAACTGTTCCTATAACAATACTAAAAAGGTAAAGGTAAAGGTTCCCTTGCTCGAAAGCCAATCGAATCAGACTCTAGGGTTGCGGTGCTCATCTCTGTTTCAAAGCCGAAGAGCCAGCGCTGTCCGAAGATGTTTCCATGGTCATGTGGCCGGCATGACTAAACACCAAGGCTCATGGAACGCTGTTACCTTCCCACCGAAGTGGTACCTATTTATCTACTTGCAATTTCTTGCTTTCGAACTGCTAGGTTGGCAGGAGCTGGAACTAGAGACGGGAGCTCACTCCGTCATGCGGCGCACTTGGGTCTCGAACTGCTGAACTACCGACCTTCCACAGCCTGCAGTTTAGCGCCTTAACCACTTGAGCCACCGCAGCTCCTATAACAGTACTACCCTTGAGTAAAAATGGAAATGGAAAATTAAGGGAAGGGGCTTGACTCCTGTGCCTTAACGTCAACCTATTGTCTTACACTATCATGCTGAAATTAAATATGAAAATTTTGCCTCATCATGATATGTGAGGAATCGTTTCGGCCGCAAAATGTCTCGCAGGTCAGTCTGCTGCTAAAAGCACAGGAACTGGGCCAGTAAAAAAATACGTGGCAATCCAAGTTGCATCCTGAGCAGATGTCTCATTCTCCCACACACACTACACCACTTCATCAGGGACAAAATGTGTGAATGAGTGAATGTTTAGTGTGCATCACATATCTGTGTCGTGGGGCATCCATTAGATAGCAGCTCAACAACGCCATGGGGCATGCAATGTGAGCTGTCCTGCTTGGCTGCAAACCTCAGAGAGTTCATGGAATTATAGATGGCTGGGAAACTGACACTGCAGAATCCCACCTCTGGCCAGCCAGAACTCAAAAGTGATAAATATAGCAACCCCCCAACTGCTAAAGAGATCAAGCATTCGTACAAGGTACCCCGCTGACTGACAGGGACATATTGGCACATATATTCAGCCTCTCTTTGCTTAGGTCTTGCCATTTTGTAATACTGTATGAACTGATTTCCCCAGCCCCCACAGGTAGAGACGACACTGATTCTCTTCCCAGAGAGGCTCTTGTTTTCCTGAAATTTCTCTTAAAGTAGACTGCATTATTCAAGTCTACGACTCTACTTTTGAAGAGGGCCTTCATTCCTATCCGGACTCCTATTGCATGATCTCATCTGCCTGATGAAAGCAATTCACTTACTGACTTTCTGCTTACAGCTTACCACTTCCTTGCAACGTCGAAAAAGCAACGCATTTCACCTGCTGCTGGAGGTGAAGTCAAAGAAAGAGGTCTCTTCTTGGTCATTTGTGCTTGATTTTGCTTCTCAGTTTGCTTCCCATAAATGTGTGTGTGATGGGAGTTATGGGATTATTCCAAAGAGAGGGTTTAGTTCAAGAATTCTCCAGGGTTGGCGGATGTGGCAGAAAGAGCTGCGTGCACCATTAGCCTGAGATGTGACTACATCCATACTAATTATTCCATTTTTTTCTGCATTTTGTACAAAGCCATGGAAATGAATGCCACCTCCAGAGGTGCTGAGGACTACCATGGGAACTATAAGCTAAGGCTGGTAAGTAAGTGCTTCTCGATAGCAACAAGGAAAGACTGTCAAGGGCAGCTAATCGCCTTTCATGCCCAACTGCACTAGATATGGTGGATTCATATGCAGAACTGAACTGTCCTTGCTGATGGTTAGTCCTTGCCACCCTTCTTCCAAGAGCTGGAAGAGATCAGGAAAATATAGAGGGGAAAGTACAATAATACAGAATGCAGAGCTAGATTTTGTGGCTGTTGATAAGAAAATGCTGGCTGGAAAGTTGTTGCTGGTTACAAAAATAGTTGATGCTGAAAACATTAATTGGTTCATTGATGCCAGTCATTACTTTGTCCATCCCAGACTAAAAGGATTTTAGTACGATTTTACTGAAGGAATCCCTATGAAAAAGTGCCACATCCAGATAGTTTTGTTGCAAATGTTCCTATGCTTGTATAGAATCTATATGAACTTTGCATGGTTTAGCTGAGGTCTTCGATCAGTCCCCCATCCAAGTCTGAATCCAGCTAGCCAGTGTGTCAGCTAGTTGCATGGACCCTATTATTGGCTGTGTTGTTGCTTCCAGAGATGTATCTGTGCCAATTTGCATGAGCAACACACAACTGGGACAATGCACAGACCATTTTTAATGTGATCCATTCCCACTGTGGAATGCAACCTTGAAAATACTTTTTCACAGGGCTCATGTAGGGGAGGTAATGTCTAAATTGTCCTGAAGTTATCAAAATAAGGGATGGTGGGAGAAACTCCAAGATAGTTAGCATTCCATCTCTGGTCATGGCCATCATAGGATTCCAATTTTCTGAGGACAAGGGATTCTGAGGTCACATGAAGGAGTGAAGAAGAATTACTTCTGATACCAAAGAGCGATAACTGGGATGCAGTGGTTGGGTTTTAATGATTGCCATAAATCTGGAGGAAGGCCTCCTGGTTCAGATCATATCAGCTAGTGACTATAGGAGATCGGGATCTCTGACGGGGCAGCTCTTCTTGTTATTCCCTATGGTTGATCACTTGATGACTCACTGCTAAATGTGTGAGCTGACTCTATTGGAAGCATTGTCACTGGAGGAAATACAAGGTGATGTGATCTATCCATCAGAGGAGGCTTATTCAGATATGCAAATCAAGTGATGAATGTGCACTGGTGAACCAGCCCAATGAATGTTCTGTTCTTTGTGAAATAAGAAGTTTTCACACTCAGATTTAATTGGATGGGGGGAGTAAAAAATGCTCCATCTGAACTGCATACTAATCGGTGCATATTTATCCAACCGATGTGGCAGATTCTGATTTTCTACACTAGAGGTCTGCAACGTTGGCTCTAGAGTCAGATAGGGTCTCAGTATGGGAACCAAAAATGGCTCTTTAAGAAAGAAAATGAAATCTTCAAGTTACGGTATATTGGAGAGTAGGTGGGACATGAGTAACCGATATACGAAGGGAATCGCAGGCAAAGATTTTTTATAGAAAAAGCTTCTTAGAGATCCTTTACAGAAAGGGAAATGATAGAGGTAAACTGTGGCCAGTAATGCAAGTGTGAACCTGGCACAGATTTATACCAGCACACTAAAAAAATTGTGCAGAGTGCTTCTGTATATATTTATGACTTATTGTGAGACTTTGATGTGATGCTTCCTAATAATGGACTCACAAGAACCAGTGTTTGGGCTGCAGGAACTTTATGGCTTACTAATTAATGTGCCAATTATAAGTAATTTTAACTTATATTTTCAGTCATGTAAACAGGCTCTCTCATACTGGTTCTTTGTTAACCTTTTGCTCTGATTTTTTTTACATAGTTTGTAAAAGGTTTAATTTTAAAAGGTTGTAGACACTTGTTCCACACATTCCCTAGCACAGAGGGAGTGTGCAACAGACCTGAATGGTCAACTTTGTGTCCATTTTAGCGATATCAGATTCCATGCAAACCAAAAGTTCAGTCTGTTCCTGTTGCAAATGTCACTAGAAACTGACATGATAAATCACAACGCCCCAAAATATAGTGATACAACATGCCTAGAGTTGCCAGCTCTGGGTGGGGAAATTCCTGGAGATTTTGGGGGTGGAGCCTGGGAAGTTGGGGTTTGGAGAGGGGAGGGACTTCAGCCAGGTATAATTCCATAAATACCAACTTCTGGATGGCTGGAAACCTGCTAAGCTTGGTCTAGTGGTTAAGAGCAGTGGCAGGACTCTAATCTGGAGAACCGGGTTTTATTCCCCACCATGAAGCCAGCTGGGTGACCTTGGGTCAGTCACAGTTCTCTCGGAACTCTCTCAGCCCCACCTACTTCACAGGGTGTCTGTTGTGGGAAGAGGAAGGGAAGGTGATTGTAAGCCGCTCCAAAACTCCTTCAGGTAGTGAAGAGCGGGATATAAAACCTACTCTTCTTCTTCCTCCTCCTTGTTATTTTCTCCGGGGAAATTGATCTCTGTTATTGTAATCTGCATAGCCAACAGATCTTCGGTGGTAAATCAAAAACCCTGCTGAGCAAAAGTCCCACCTAGCCCCCCTCACTTTCTAAAAACACTTGGTGAGCACCTAGTAAGGAGTCAGTCGGTGCCACAGCACCCCAAGGCATCGTGTTGGGGACCCCTGATTTAAAGTGTTTCCCAAATGAACAGTGCAGTCCTATGCAGAATAACACACTACTAAATTAGTTGTTGTAGATTTTCCGGGCTGTACGGCCGTGGTCTTGGCATTGTAGTTGTGATTGGCATCCTCAGAGGTATAACACGGAAAGATGGAGTACTCCCTGTGTCAATGTGAGAAGAAAAATGGCAGGCAGGTAATTTATATCTACTCAGGAAGGTGGGGTAGGGCTGAGTCATTATCTTGTAGGAATTTCCCAGGCTGTGACATGCTAATGGAGGAGCTTTCCTGAGGAGGTTCTTTTGTATATGGATTGGCTGTTGAAAGTCTATCTGTAGTGCTGTTGTAAGATGTAGAGCATTTTGTGTTTTTCAGGACAGGAAACCATGCCCTATTAACTAATGAACTCCAGCTGTGAAAGCCTTAGACAACACTTCTAAATTCATTGACATCAGTGGACTTAGAAGGGTGTAACTCTGTTAGTCCTGCAAAATCTGGGCATGGAGGCCTGGTGGTTCACAGAACTCTTCAGGGGAAGATGGAACTGGATAGACAAATCCTTTTTTAATTATGTGGGTCAGCAATCTTATGTATATGTATAGTTACTCATCCTATCGAGTTTGATGGTGCTTCCACCCTGGTATTAGTTTTGCACCTGTAGCCTGCAATCCTATGCATACTTACTTGGGAACAAGCTCCACTGAACACAGTTCTCTTGAGAATAAGCATGAAAACAAGGTCATGCTGCATGTTTATGGGCAAAATCCAAATTACACACCATTTATTTCACTGGGAGAAAGTCAAGCAAGTATAAACTCTGCCTTTGAAATCGACAGGACTGTTTTACTTTTGGTTGGATTGTGCTCTTATATCCTAGTTTAATTTTTAGTTTCTCTTATCTAACGTGACTCAGACACTCATGATTCACTGATGGACGGAATGTCCTATGCGAAGCTGTTATGTAAGTGACAGGAATCCTTTCTCAGGCCAGCTCTGTCTGTCTGGACCAAGAAGTGCTGGTATTAAGTCTGCCATGGGGGTGGGGGGTGGGAGACGGTGTTGGTTGCTGTAAGGTCAATGTAGCCTTGCATAGCCTGGGTGGATCTTTTGGATCCACAAACCCTCCCATACATGCACAATAGGATATAATAGGATCCAAGGCTTACTCTATAATTTATTTTCAGGGCTTCTTTGCCCTTGGTTCCTACAAAAAAAATGAGGGGAGCTATTCTACTTCATTCCATAAACAACTAATTCCAGCAAAGATAAAGACTGATCCTTATTTCCAGCTTCTCATGTGAGTGGGAAGTTTGGGGTATGACTTCCTTTTGTGAGTTTCTTTACAAAGAGAGAGCATTTTGTAGAATTATGATACCTTTCATAAGGAGCAGATTGTTTTTAAATAGTAATAATTCTCACCATTTATCTAGTGTGTTCAGCATTTAAATCAGTTCAGTTATACGATCATAGTAACCCCAATAACAGTTAGGCCAGTGCTATTATGCCCACAGCAACTTAACAAGGGACTGAGAGGACCATTAAAGGGGTGGCCAAATTCAGACTGAAACTGATAACTTTATGGATCCCAGCTCAGCTTCTTAACTATTTTGTTACACCAACTTCTGTTTACAGGCTGAGGAGGCAGGAAGGAAGCATACACACAGGCACTGCTGCGCAAAGCAACATCAGTCCAAGTACCCCAATGACTTAGAAGTGGCTTCTGCCAGCTAGAAATCTCACAGCAGCTTTTTCTAATTAGCTACAAGATCACCAAATGGAACTGGAGAATTATGGAACCCTACATTTACAAACAGCCAGTGCATTTCATGTAAAGAAGGTTGGGCTTGGATTTTTGACAGATCCAGGTTCAAGTGTTCCCTTATGCCTTCATACATGACACAGTGATTGACGTAGGCAGTGTCAACTCTCTGGCAAGTGCACTTGTTTAATGTATTTCCAAATATATATATTTGTCATATTTGTGCAATGCATTTTTAAAAATATTAAAACATTTAAAAATGCATTGTTTTTATGTGTACATGTAAAAGATGCTATGACTAAAAGCATGTTTAAAAATGTAACATGAATTGTACATCACTTATGAAAAATGGCTTTGAGCAAGTCACTATTTTGCAGCTAAATCTACCTCACAGAGTTGTTGAATTCATGGAGGCAGGGAGTCAAATACCTGGAACATACCTACACTACAAACTTATATTATGTTGGAATATTATAATAATCAAGATCCCCCCCACACACACACAAAAATCCTGGGAATTGCAGTTTATAGACAATATCCTGTGTTAAAAGATTCCTGACCCTTCCTAACAGAAATATAATTCCTGTGATTAACTGATAAAACTGCGATTTACGGAAGACTTCCTGGCTTGTCATTCTAGCACTGAGAATGAACCCAGGAGGAAGAAAGAAAGGAGAAATTTTATCTGTTAAGAACATTTTTATCCTACCTTTCCTTTAGGGAACTTAGGGTGTTGTACATGGTTTTCCCCTCCTCCATTGTATCTTCACAACAGCCTGGTGAGGTAGGTTAAACTGAGAGGCAGTGACCAGCCCAGGATCCCTCAATGAGCTTCTATGGATGGCAGAGGCAGGGTGGAGGTGCAGTGACTTGCAAAACAGTTCCCCTGGCAGAGTAAAGTTGCAAGTGTCCAAAACACCAGGGCAGGTTCTCATTATAAAGAAGCCTTGTCAGATGGCAGGCAGCTGTGATTGTTCATGTGTACTCCACAATTAATTAACACAGAAGGTCATGAGTTGTGAATTTCAAGTGGAGACAATTGGGAGCCCTCTTTCATTCTAGGTTTATGGCAACCTACTGTAACTTCTCTCATGCCTCCTCCCCCAGCTCTTTCAGAATCAGAGTCCTCCTTGCAGCAGGCCTTCTTGTTGTTAGATACCAACAAGCAGGCCTTGCCATACCCGGCCTCTTCCCTCGCTTCCCGTGTGACATCTGATCCCCTAGAATTACAGCTCATCTCCAGACTACAGAGATCAGTTCCCTTGGAGAAAATGGATGCTTTGGAGGGTGGACTCCAGGGATATTTTTGGGCAGGAACGCACAGGAACGGAGTTCCGGCTGGCTCCTGAGTTGGCCACACCCAGCAGGGACTCATTAGCATAATAGGCCACACCCAACAGCAGAAACTCATTCGATTTGGCTACATTAGGGGTGTGTGGCTGGATGACCACACTTCTGGTAACATGGGGGTGCGGCCTAATATGCTAATGTGCTGTGCTGTCAAGGGTGTGGCCTAATATGCTAATGAGTGTCTGCTGTTGGGTGTGGCCTATTATGCTAATGAGTTCCTGCTGGGCTTTTTCTACAAAAAAAGCCCTGGTGGACTCTATACCCCACTGCGGTTCCTGTCCTCCCCAGGCTCCACTCCCAAATCTCCAGGAGTTTCCCAACCTGGATCTGGCAACCTTCCCCTCCCCATCCACTGTCAGTGGCTAGGGGGGACCTGGTAACCCTATCTCAGCTATTCCAGGACACAATGTAAATACCAATGCAGGGGTGCTGTGCTGTCCACATAAGGTAACGTGCAATGTTGCTGTAGATCCCCACAAACACACAACCTGCTACTATTTACCTGGGCTGAATTCCTGTGTTTCACACTGTGTAGTAAATGTTTGGAAAGCCACAAAGGAGAAGCTGCCAGAGGAGGTGCTACCTGAAACTGAGACTTCCTGATGGGGTGATGGTAGGGTTGCCAACTCCAGCTTGGAAAATCCCTGGAAATTGGTGGAGGTGCTTGGGGTGGGTGGAGTTTGGGAATGGGAAGAAGCTCACCAGGGATGTGATGCCACACAGTCCACCCTTTAAAGCCACCATATCCTCCAGAGAAAGCAAGCTCTGTAATCTAGAGATCTCTGTAATTCCAGGAGAACTCCAGGCGCCACATTAAGGTTGGCAACCTTAGGTCGGGGCCTTCCCCACAGCCTTAGGAAGCCAATTCCACAGCACAGGTACAGCCACAGAGAAGTGGGGGAATTAGCCAGAGTCTCTCATCTGATGACTGGAGCTTCTTTGTGGACACATAGAGAACAACAAATCTAGCAGCTCACACTCCAAATCTGCTAACAAGGCATCCCCCCTCAGGCCCCAGAAGGCACAAAATAGGGACAGCTACCAAAAAAGAGGAGCTGCGGTGGCTCAAGTGGTTAAGACGCTGAACTGCAGGCTGTGGAAGGTCAGTAGTTCAGCAGTTCAAGACCTGAGCTGCTGCATGACGGAATGAGCTCCCGTCTCTAGTTCCAGCTCCTGCCAACCTAGCAGTTTGAAAGCAAGAAATTGCAAGTAGATAAATAGGTACCACTTCGGTGGGAAGGTAACAGCGTTCCGTGCGCCTCGGTGTTTAGTCATGCCGGCCACATGACCACGGAAATGTCTTTGGACAGCGCTGGCTCTTCGGCTTTGAAACGGAGATGAGCACCGCAACCCTAGAGTCGGACTCGACTGGCTTTCGAGCAAGGGAACCTTTACCTTTACTTACCAAAAAAGAGGGACTGGTAAACTGAGAAACCTGGAGCATATAGAAGGAGAATGTCATTAGTATTTGCCTCGAAACATCTTGGGACTGCCCTGCTAGGTAGTATGTTTTAGCTAGCAGGAGGATTTACAGATACAGAGAGCAAGGCCTGAAGAAAACATATCAGGATTGCACTGGCAGCCTGGAATGTGTGGCCCTGTCACTTCTGTTTTTCATTCGGTTCCCCCCTCCATTTGTAGTGAAGCTTCCCATGAAACTAACTTCGTCCCTTCTGGTCCTTTTCAAGAGGACTGGAGATGAACTGATGGCACAAGTGAAGGGGATGTCAGGATGGGAAGTGAAGGTTGGAAATATCATGTGAGGAGCTATGGTGGTTAACAAAAAACATAAATAATTGGGTGGGGGTAGGGTTACCAACCTCCAGGTGGGGGCTGGAGATCTCACTCTATTACAACTGATCTCCAGGTGACAGAGTTCAGGTGGAGAAAATGGCCACTTTGGAAGTTGGACTCTATGGCATTAGTCCCCAAACCTTGCCATCCTCAAGCCGCACTCCCAGAATCTCCAGGTATTTCCCAACCTGGAGCTGGCAAGTCCTGGGGGAGGGGGGTAGTCTGTAATACAATGAACAATGATGAGAAAATGGAAAATTGGATCACCTCCAGACCATAAGCTTGTGGACATTTATTTTGGGGCTGATGGAAAAACAACTGTGCATGGTTTGTGGGGGGTTGCTTTGTCATCATTCCAGGAAAATAGTGATGAGGAAGAAGACGACAAAAGGAAGCCACCACGGATGGCCAAGAAAACATGGGGTGACATGATCAAAGAGCTGAAAATCTTCCTGTGGAATCCAGAGACAAGGGAATGTATGGGCAGGACAGCTCATAGCTGGGGTAAGTGAAATATTTATTTCCAGTCTATGGGAGAGATTCATCCTGTTGTATGTTTTCTTTAATGCATGCACTGTACCTCCATGCCTCAGTGCCTCTGAAAGAAAAACCTAGACAATATCTGGGTGTATGAGAGCCACTTCAAATAAGAGACTGTGGTATGTCCCAAGCCCAAGGGGGCCACCCAGAACCCAATCAGACAGTGGGTTTGGGGTGGCTTGCAAAATTGTCCCTGTGGCACTACTGTGGCAAAAGTGGCTCACCATTGGCTAAGAAACATGTAGTCAAAATAAAGCAATACTCTATAGAGGTGTTGAACTTCATATATAGCTGAATCAGGAGTAATATTTGCGCAAAAAGTGGAACTCTTAAGGAGTTAGAGCATCTTTACCCTTAGGCTTTACAGATGATGGTGGGTCAAAAATGTTCTCAGAGTCTCCGTGAAGTATGTAACAACTGCTTAGAAAAAAGGTAGGGCAGCTGCGGATGTGTGAAATCTATCCACATTACTATGACCGCAACAGGAACTTAAAATCAGATGAATTCCCCACTGTAAGGAATGTCACCACGGTGGTCATGTGTCAAACATAACATGCAATCCTAGGCAAGAGTTATACTCTTCTAATTCCATTGATGTAAATTGCCTTAAAAGGGTGTAATTCTGTTTAGGATTGCATTGCCACAGAGTCATTTGCTTTCCCAGATTGTTCTCAGGACTCAAAATTCCTCTCAGTATAAACACCTTAGGAAGGCAGAGGGTGAAAGTGCACATCTGGGCTCTCAAGGCTTGTTCTGAAACTGGATTTAGGCTCATCCTGAGGAAAAAACAAGTTCTGTTTGGGACTTTATATAATAATAATAATAATAATAATAATAATAATAATAATAATAATAATAATAATAATAATAATAATAATAATTTTCACCCTTGCTTCAAGCATTGGATTTTATTCCCCTGAGACTGGCCAGCTGTTTTGTGCTGCTGTGCTTCCCCTCAGCAGTTGTGACATCATGGAAAGGTTATTTCATTTTATGTCCCTGTTGTGCTTTGAAAACCACCTGGCCCAATTTTTTTTTAAATCACCCCTTCTCCCTTTTCCAGTGGCCCTTGCAGGGCAGGGCAGAGACTGGGAACAGCCTCTGTGGTGCTGGGAACAGCATGTGTAATTCCCTAATGCAAGGCATCTCACACTCATATGGGTTCAAGGGCCAGATTTTCTGGTCAGTAGATTACCTGGGGGAGAAGGCAGCATGGTATAGCTTGATCTTATCAGATCTTAGAAGCCAAGCAGGGTCAGTACTTGGATGGGAAGCCACCAAGGAAGACTCTGCAGAGGAAGGCAATGGCAAACCACCTCTGCTTCTCACTTGCCTTGAAAGACCCTTGCTGGAGTTGTCATATGTCAGTTGGGGCTTGATGGCACATATGTACATTGCTGGTTACCCTGCGATCAGGTCCATAAGTGTTTCTTGAATAAGATAAATTCCATGTCAATTTGACAGCAAATTGTCAGCTATACTAAATGTTGGGGAGGAGAAATATACCAGACACTCCTTTTGCAGTCCTGGCAGCTTCCCTTTTTTGTAGAGTGAATAACCAAAGATACTATGCATGAACACAGTTCCTTTGCTGTGTCCCAGATATCCCAAGAAAAAGTATCCTTCCTCTCAAAAAGCCAAACCAAAGCAAGGCATCCAAACCCACCAGTGGCTGCTACCAACAGCAGATAGAAGCTAGTCCTGGTGAATTTGCTTTGGCTCCAAAGAGCATCAGTTTCTTAGCCCCAGCAATGACCAAGCAATTTGCGCCAAGTGTGAGCCACGCTGTTGTTTGCCATAAGGACTGTGTACATTCAAAAGTATATTTATGTAATGTATTTTAAATGTTTTATTTAAAATGTGACGGAGAACGGAACTGTTCAGCTCCACTGCCCTATCAACAATGACATATGGATCTGATATATGGCTATACAGCTGTATCTGAAGAAGTGAGCAGTGACTCACGAAAGCTCATACTCTGCCACAAATTTTATTAGTTTATTATCTATTTCATTAGATTTCTTGACCGCCCTTCTCTGCTTACAACAAAATAATTAAATACCTTATAAAACCAATGAAAACCATAAATATTCAATATTAAAAACATTCAAACATAAGTATTTGAAAACATTTTAAGAACAAGATGGCATATTTAGCATTCAGTCGCTAAGGTGCTAACTGGACCCTTGCTCTTTTCTACTGATGTGGATTCAAAAGTTAGTCAACAACAAAAATGGAGGAGGGAAAGACTCACTGTCACTCAAAGACTGATGGAGTGGCACATGTCCACAGTGTCACTTAATGTGAACAAAGAAATCCTGAAATGTATGGGAGTAATACAGGTGATTTGCAGTGCAAACCAGAGATGGGAAGGCCATGCAGCTTGAGGTCAAGATCACATGTGGACAGACCCACCTCACTGACTGGATCCCTAGAGACCACCAGCAGGCTACTAGGCAGACCAAAAGGCACTCAGCTGACCCAGCGACTATATTGCTCATTCAGAAATAGAAAGAATATGCTCACAATAGAGCATACTGGTGTGATGACAACTTGCATTCATGGAGGGATGGCAGAAGACAAGCTGGATTGAAGAATTTAAGACATATCCTACATAAACTCTCAGTACCAAGACTCCTGATAAATAATAATCATAACTATAAAGCAGTTGTGGCTAGCAGGAAAAAAAATCAATTGAAATATTTTGTTAATTATTTATTAAAATATTTATACTGCACCTTTCCTCTTGGCTCAAGGCATCTTACACTAATAAAATATCATCAACCACTAGAAATCAGCAAACAGTAAAAGCCAGCAACACACAAAGAAACCAGTTTTAAAAATCCCCGCCTCCCCAACAAAATCACCTATTAGATCAATATTGCTTGGATATTCCACTACGCCAAGATCTTCATTGCTCTGTATGCCTTCTGCATGCAGAAACCTGCCTGGAATCCCAGTGTATACAGGTTGCAGATGGGCAGAGCAGCTGTGCAGATTCATTGCTGCATGAGCAAACAGTTGCACATGTGGAAATAGGTACGGTGGGGATGCAATGCAGATTGTTAACCTGCCCTCCCTGACTGGTTATTCCCATCAAGAGCAAATGTATGTATTCATCTCAGAGGATCGTAGATAAAATCAGACATGCCCATCTTGTGTGTGTGTGGATATTTCTGGACTGAGCCTAGCTATCTCGCTCTGTGTTTCTAAGGAACCAATATGGTTGCAGTGCCATAGCATCTCATTGTTGCACTTTCATATTATATAGCTCTTGTACCCAAGCTCATCAACAATGTTTGTGTGTGTGTTTTTTTCTGTCTTGCAGGCCTAATACTTCTCTTTTATCTAGTTTTTTACCTTTTCTTGGCTGGAATGTTTGCATTTTGTATGTATGTAATGCTGCTTACTCTGAGCCCATACACACCTACGCACAGGGACAGAGTTTCTCCACCAGGTGAGTGCTTGAGCTCAGCAGATTTATTTTTCTATGTGTTTTTCTTAGGCTATTTATAAACCGGCTTTGCACTCGAAAAAAGCACAAAGAGGTGAACAGTGAAAAATCAAGGTTAAAAATAAATAAAAGGAATATATGGAAAAGCAAGAGAACAGAGAGAAACAACCACAAGAGCAGATAAAATCGGAAGGGGGGGGGAATCCAAGTTCATATCGAAGCAGAAAGACAAATTAATGCACAAAGAATCTATCTGGGGAGATTATTGCATAATGGGGCATCACCCCTGAAAAAGCCCTCTCTCTGGTTGTCATCTGCTTGATCTCCAGTGGTGAAGGGACCCAGAGAAGGGTGTCCAGTGCAAATTCAAAGGCTGGGTATACGGTCTGTATGGAGAACGCAGCCCCTCAGGCATCATCATCTTAAGGCATGCAGGGACTGAAATGTCAAAGCCCTTGAATGGTGGCTAACTGCACATGACGCTGATTTTTGGGGACACACATTTAAATCGGTCCATTCAAGTGAGCAGTCAGACTGCTGTATTTTGAAGTCTCCAGACACTTTTAAATTATACGGAGCTCTCCAAGTGCATGTTTGTTGTCCTCCTCCTCCCTACCCTGAATGTAATGTAGATATGCTAAATCCAGTCTTGTAAGGAACCCTTCCAGAATTGTTTGCTCACAAACGGCTTTATTAAAATTAGCCATTTGTGGACTAAAGTGGTGGTGGTGGTGGGGGAAGTTGCAACACCTGTTTGCCTTGAAGGTGCTTCTGACTCACCATCCCTGTCTGGCAAAGTGGTTATTTCCAAATGTAATGAAACCCCTTGCCACCCACTTCGGATATTAATCCTTGTAAAACCTACTCTATGTTGCTTTCATTGAGACTACGCTATAATCCAGAACTGGTGGGCTCTTCAACATTAAGTTCATAACTCTACTTTCTCTTTTCTGTTGCAGGAGTTATGATTAGACCATACATCAATCATGGATTTGTCATTTCTTTCAAGATGTCAGATCCCCAAACGTGGCAACCTTATGTGAAAAACTTAGAGCAGTTTTTAGGAGGTGACGGTCTTCTTCAGATTATACCCTTCGTTAAAGCCCATTTGATCCTTAAAATGGATTTTTTAAAAAATTAAACCAACCTTACCAGCTCTACCACAATTATATGTTAGCTAAACAAAGTTTGAGTCCAGTGGCACCTTTAAGACCATATTAACTTTTGTGTGCACGGGCACCTCTTCAGATACAGTGAAATGGAAATTACCAGTCCATACATATAGATGAGCTCTACTGGTAATTTTCATTTCACTGTAACTGAAGAAGTGTGCTTTGCACACAAAAGCTTATACCTTGAATAAAACTCCGTTGGTCTTCAAGGTGCCATTGGACTCAAACTTTGTTCTGCAGCTTCAGACAACACGGCTACTCACCTGAATCTATATGTTAGCTAGTAACCATGAAAGGGCAAGGGGGTAAAAGATACCAGTTAGAATAGATCCTATTACAAGAGTGGACAAACAGAGTGGAGCAGAGGATTTTGAAAGGACTTGCAGCTTGATGCTGAGCATATTTATGCAGCAATAAGTCCCATTTTGTTGATTCCAGTTGAGTGTGCATAGATTCATAGACTTAAATCAGTTCTGCTTGGAACAAGGCAGTCCTGCCAGTTGTATGATTAATAATGCCTCATAGTATACTTTGCAGGAAATCATTCTCAGAGAAACTTCCGAACCGTTGTTGGCCTCTTTTGGCTTTTCCCTGTGACTGCTTGTTTGTATAATCACAGTCTTTTGTTGCAGTACACATCTGAAGCAATCATCTCTCTGTACTATAGACCAAATGACTGGCAATCTGTGCAAAAAAGAATACCATAACAACACCTAATGATAGAGTTCAAGTACTAAAGCACTCCAGTCCTATGATAGACTTCAAGTATGTCCACTCCAGTCTAATTAAAGACCACACACTTGCACATGGGCATCCCTAAATGGGATCATCCCTTCAATCAACCTGCCAGGACTTCATGCATGGAGCCCTGTTAGAAAATGAGTGGCACTAACCTCTTAGCTGTCCAGGAAGGGTGGTGGGGATGTGGATTCACAGCCTACTGCCCTATCCCTGCTAAATACCTGGTGCAACTTGGGTTGCCAAATACAGCCTGGGAAATTCCTGGAGATTTGGGAGTGGTGCCTGGTTAGTTAGAGAGCTCAGTGGGGATGTGGTGTCTTAGGGTCTGACCTCCAAAGCTGCCCTTTCTTCTGGTGAACTGATCTCTGCATTCTGGAGATCAGTTGTATTTCATGGAGAACTCCAGGACCCGCCTGGAGGTTGGTAACCTTAGGTACAACTGCTGCTTTTCTAACTTGGCTCCACATGCACAATTCTGGCAGCTGTGCCAAAAAAAAAGAGTTGGATTAGAGCTGTCATATTTAAGACACCAAAAAGGGGGTGGGCGTCTGTGTTTCCAGAACAGATGCTTGTGTGAACAGAGGTTTGCTTCGTAACCTTGGTGCCCGGTCTCACAAAGACAACAACCTATGTTGATTGTGTAAACTTACCTTTCACTGTCCAGTTTTCAGACTCGTTCCATAGTAACAATATAAGAGAGGGAGAAGACATGTTGATGTCATTGAATATTTAATCCTTGCTAACACTGTTCTGGCATGATAACTGTAAAGTGCAAGACCCATTAACTGTCTCTATTACCTTTAGCTTATAATGACACTGTTCAGGAAAGCAGAAATGCTGTGTGCACACCTGGTGATTATTTCATTCAAGACACTGGAGAAAGCACCATGAAACGTGCTTGCCAATTCAAGCGATCCATGTTAAAGAATTGCTCGGGGCTGGAAGATAAAACTTTTGGCTACTCCAAGGGACAGCCGTGCATCTTGCTAAAGATGAACCGAGTACGTAAAAACCTAATTTACTTTTATTCTTTTGTTATGTGTCTTGGAATGCTGCAAATGCATTATTATCCTGGAACTGAGGGTGCTGGATCAGTTTGCTCCTGTAGCCAAGCTGATCCCACGATGATGACAGCCCTCTCCTAGTGTTCATCTCCATCTTTTGTTAGCCAGAAGATATTGGCTCTGGCTGTGCAGGTTCCCTTTAGCTCTTAAGGCTAAACATCTACTGCACTGGCAGCCTTTTCTTTTAGCAGTTCGAAAGGACTGCCCTGTAGAGTCTGTTTACTTACTTCCTGTTATAGCACAAGTCTGTTCTGCACATGCAGCAGATTTTGGAAATGGTACAGTAGACCATACTGCTTTAGACTGCAGGTAGATGATCACATTTTAGTGTTCCCTTATATTAAATAGACTTCCATGCAAATAAAAAAACAAGCACTGTAGGGAGAAGGTTGGGTTGAAGTCTTTCCCCATGACATGTAAGGTTGCTGCTTGCATAGAGTTTTTCTTTTAATGGGGCTGAGGTATTAAAAACAGTAATACACTTCTGCAGTCTGAAGTAGTACCGTCCACTTTAGTATCTCAGCATTCTACTGTCTCATTCCTCAGCATGTGTGAACTTCAGCCATAGAAAAAGGGGTTTGAGGGCTGTGGTATATTACTTACAAGAAAACACGGCCAGTTAGCAGAAAGGAATGTGTTTTATTTATGTGTGTAAAGTATTGCTGTCCTGCTTTTGGGCCAAACCAATATATACGAAGCGGGATGACACAAATTAAAATTGCAGCACAGTAAACATACACTCATAAAAATGCTTGCAGGGAGGGTGGCATTAAAGCCTAAATAAATAAATAACAACACATAAAAATAACCCAACATCATCAATTACAGCACAGAACAAGACAGCCAAAAGGGGGGGTGGGACCTCAGCAATGGCCCTTGAACCTTGGACTAGTATCCTGCATGCACTTTGAAAAAGCATATTTGTCATTTGCTTTCTGAAAGCCAATAATGCTGATGCATAATTGACTAGTTGGTAGAGGATGTCTTGTAACAATGGTGCCATCACCAAGAAAGACCTGCCAACCTACCATACCTCTGATGCTGAGGGCACAAAGAGCAGGGCTTCCAAAGATGACCTTGGCCTTCATATGGGAAGGGTGCTGGTTAGTACATGAAATGGAGACCACCAAGAATGTCCAAGGTTGCTATTCAGAGGCAGGCAATGACAAACCAACTCTGTCTCTTGCCTTGAAAATCCTATGGGGTTGCCATAAGTCGGCTGCAACTTGACAGCACTTTCCCATATGTAGCCTGGTTGTAGAAGCCAGTGCAGTTGTTCAATATCAGAGTGAAATGCTCAGTGCAATCTCTGGTGGATGTATTTTAGACCAACTGAAAGTTCCAAATTCTCTTTAGAATCTGACAGACATAAAGTGTGCTGTCTGTTTGGGGGGGGGGCTGTCACCAGGGCATGTATAACTGTTGTTAGATCCTTCCTGTTCAGAAGAAGGTGCTGATGGAGAACCTGTTGGAGTTTTTTGCTGTGAAGTCACAACCGTCTTGTGGCAACCCCATAGGGTTTTCAGGCAAGAGACATTCAGAGGTAGTTTGCCATTTCCTGCCTCTGTGTTTGTGACCCTGGTATTCCTTGGTGGTCTGCCATCCAAATACTGACCAGGGCTGCTTAGCTTCTGAGATCTGATGAGATCTGATTAGCCTGGACTAGCTAGTAAAATACATGTCACTAAAACTGGGAAAAGACATGTGGATAGTTGGCTTGCTGATCTTGATAGTAGGGATGGGCACAAACCGACTTACAAATAAAATGTCATGATGAACCGGGCTGGTTTGCTGGTTCATGAACCGCGATTCATGCAATCACATTGTTTGTGAACCGCCCACAAGCCACCATTTTTTGCAGTGGTTTGTTCGGTTCGTCAGAAGGTTCTCTTTAAATGCCTTCCCTTAACTTGCTGAGAAGGCTGAGTTGACTTGTTGAGTCAGCTGAGCAAGCATTTAAACTTTAAATCCTTGCTGAGTTGACTCTGGCATGACCCCCACAACCACTGTCAAATCCCCCATACCTTTCTCGTTGTGGATCACTTCCTTCCTCTGGGTCAAACTCTGCTTTCCCAGGGTGCTGCAGTCCCAACTGAGTATCCAAAAGGTGCACCTAGGCACCCTCTCTTAACATCCAGGGGTCCGCTTCTCAACCCCCTTCACTGCCACCACAAGCATGCCCCCCTTTTCGCTTTCTCCCTCCTGCAAAAGCACCTTCCCGAAGTGCTGGACACCTCGTTCTTTCATTGCTCACACATCCAGGCCTTTCTCTACCACCACAAAAGGTCGACCAGTCAGCATGACCCCCACAACCTACGTTAAATCCTCTGTACCCCTTTTTCCTTCCTTCCCCTGGGCCAAACCCAATCTTCCTGGGGTGCTGCAGTCCCACCTGAGTACCCAAAAGGTGCCCCTAGGCACCCTCTCTAACATCCAGGGGTCTGCTTCCTGACCCCCCCTTTGTTGCCTTCGTGAGCAAGCCACCCCTTGCCTCAGCGAGTGAAGTGAAGGCATTTAAAAATGCCCCCTGCAGAAGTTCCCCCCAACTCATAAACCTAATGAACCACAAACAGGTTCGGCAAACTGAAAAACTCATGGATGTTCATGGTTTCTCATGAACCTCTGTTTTCCCAGTTCATGCCCATCCTTGCTCAATAGAGAACAGCAACTTAAAATACAATCCTAAGTATACTTGCTTTGCATGTTCCAGCAAAATTCATTGGATTCTCTTCCATATAAAGGTGTTCTGGAGAAGGGCATAGGATTGTTGTCAAACTTGATGAGGCAACTCATAATTGATCTTTCTTTTAAATATGGCTGCATTCTTCCAAAAAGGACTTATGTTACATTCCATTGCAGAGAATAAATACAGTTCTAGCTTGGCAACTTCTGTCAGCCGCCCACTTCTCATAAAGATATTTCCTTTTTTTAAAAAAAAGTTATCTGTTGATCTCCAGCACTGCAAGAGTTACTGGGTCCTTGGCTCACATGTCAAAGACCACCCCTGTGTTTTACACAGCTGAGGATGTTCTTGTCCCATTCCTCTCCCAACCAGCTGGGATAAGTGGGGCCAACTCCTATCCTGCCCCCACAGTGAAATGGGAATTGGTAGCAACTCTCTTTTGCTGAAAGGTACCTGAGAAGAAAGAATCATTAATTGTCCTCATTCAATCACTTGCATACCAAAGTAATAGCTGGATCTCGGACTACTTAGTTTTAATTAATCAAAAAGAGATGCTCAAGCTAAACCAATTGCTTAGCGTTGGAGCGGTTTGAATAGAACCACTGACCTCTTGCTGTACCAGCAGTAGGAATGATGCCTTTTAACCTTGGCAAATATCCAGCACTTTCTTTTCTATGTATAATGATTAAAACATGAGGGTGAGCTTCTACATTTGCTGACCCTTTACAGTTGTCTCACCCTATTTTGTGGGATTCTTTGTATTCTTGTTTTGTTTTTCTTTTTGAAAAAGCAATTAAAAAGCTCTTGTTTTTATAGATTATTGGCTACCGGCCTGGTTATGGGACTCCAGTGACAGTGGAGTGCAAAGTGCTGGTAATTACCGCCTCCTAATTATATTATATATGGCAGGGTTTTTCAAAATGGGTTACCTAATTTTTAAAAGCAAGTGCCTGGAAACAGTTATGTTGTAAGAAGGGGAGGGAGCTATCTTATCTAAAGCAAAAGGCGTGTGTGTGTGTTTGTGGGGAAGGGGGGAATGACGGATTGTATATTATTTTGACTGCACAGCTTTGAAGAATAATATTCATTTCATTTCCAACGTTTAACTCACTTCATGTTCATTGCCCTGTAATGCCTGTCAAAGCAGAGAACAAAAAGTGATGGTGCAGTAGGGAAAAAAATATATATCTCATGTTCCATTCTTGCACTGTAATAAGATGGGAATATTCTGAGACAGATCCCCTGATGAAGCAGCACAGGAAATGCACTGGGATCTTTGAGTGAAACATAATAAAAAACCTTTTCCCCACTGCACCATCACTTTTCTCTGTATTACTCTGTATTGGTCTGCCTCCCCAACTTGCACTTATAAGCTGTGTCTATGGCCTGTAATCCTGCCAACCTAGCAGTTTGAAAGCAAGAAATTGCAAGTAGATAAATAGGTACCACTTCGGTGGGAAGGTAACAGCATTCCGTGCGCCTTGGTATTTAGTCATGCCGGCCACATGACCACGGAAACGTCTTCGGACAGTGCTGGCTCTTCGGCTTTGAAACGGAGATGAGCACCGCAACCCTAGAGTCGGATTTGACTGGCTTTCGAGCAAGGGAACCTTTACCTTTACCTCTATGGCCTGTAAGGGAAGCTAGACTTTTCCTGGTCCTGACCAGACTGGAGAGGGAAGACTGAAGATGAAAGGACAGCAGATAGCCTAGGATCCCCCCATGTTAGAGGTGAGAGCTGAAATGGGAGATTCCTAACTCACACCATTGTGTGTCCAGTGGTGCCTTTAAGACCAACAAAGTTTAATTCTGGGTATAAGCGCAAGAAAGCTTATACCCGGAATTAAACTTTGGTGGTCTTAAAAGTGCCACTGGACTCAAACTTTGTTCTGTTGCTTCAGGCCAACATGGCTACTCACCTGAATCTTCCATTGTCTGTGTAACGTGCCAGTTGCAGCCGATTTATGGCGACCTGAGCAAGGAGCTTTTAAGGCAAGTGAGAAGCAGAGGTGGTTTGACATTGCCTTTCTCTGCAGAGTCTTCCTTGGTGGTCTCCCTTCCAAGTACTGACCTTGCTTAGCTTCTGAGATTGGGCTATACCATGCCACCTTCCCTCCCAATTGCTCACAAGATTAGCTACTGCTTTTGCCCCTCTTTAGGAGGGGGAAGAGCTGTGCTTCAGCAGTACAGCACCTGCTTTGTATGCAGACAGTCCCAGGTTGCAACCCTTAGAATCTCCAGTTAAAGTTTCCTCAGTAGCAGGTGGTGGGGAAAGCCATTATTGGCTTGAGAGCTGTTGACACTCAGAACAGTTGATCCAGATATGCATCTGATTAAAAGCTCATGCAGGAATAAATGCTGTTAGTCTTTAAGGTCCCACCAGACTTATTTTTGCTACAATAGACTAACATGGCTGGGATTGAACAGTACGGAACCAGATGGTTTTCCGCTGGTGTAAGGCAGTTTTGGATGTTATGAAATAAGGCAGTCACAATCAATGCTCCCTCTGAGCTGTGGAGTCTTGTGAGCAAAAAATCTACTCTGTGAGCTACTGGCATTAAGGTTGTGAGCGAGCGATTTGGCTACTGCATAAATGAGTTTGCTCTGGAGCCCTCCTTCCTGAGCTAAGACAAAATGTGTGAGCTGGAGGCTAAAAAACTGAGCTAGCTCACGCTAATTCAGCTTAGAGGAAACACCGGTCACAATGCTGTGTTCTATGGTGAGCCTCCTTGAGCTGGAGCAGGTGTAAAGGGAGAAAAGTAGAGATTTCCTACCCATGATGCTCTTGCTCTTTGTCCAGGCACCCCAGATTCCAGTCCATCTGCAACAGTCTGCAGTGGATTGGCATATCTAATGTCTTGATGTTTAGGACAGGGATGCCTAAGTTCAAAGCCCTTCCCATCTGTAAAGATGCTCTTGGGTAAACTGCAAGCACCTGTCAGATCTTCGCAGGATGGGGGCCAAGGTTCACTGCTTTTGTGAAGGATCCACTCCCGCAGCAGTGCTGGGTGAGGTGTACCACTTCCGCTTCCCCCATCTCACGTACGTTTATTCATTTAGGATCCAAGGAAGACGTACCTATGCACTGTACTGAAGCTTTACGTGCATTAATGGATTGTTGATGTTGCCTCAGGCCTGTGTCAATAGCTTTAGGCATCCAGTCATATGAAGCAAGCCTGTGAAGCATTTTGATGCTTCAGTTAAAACAGAGCAATAGTTGGTCAACATGAAGGAATTTGGTCTGACCTTGCAGCCAAGTGCCCACGTCCTCTCTAGATGTTATTTCTAGATGTACCTTGTCAAAGCTAACGTTTCAGCAGACAGACATTGCAGGAAGGCTTTGTAAACTTTACACATCCTCCTTCTCATGCCCCTATTTTTAAATTGCAGAAAGGTAATGAAAGTGATATCCACGCAACGGACTTCTATCCAGGCACCACATTTGATCCCATGTACTTTCCTTACTATGGCAAACTAACACACGTAAGTAGAAGTACAGCTGTTGAATTAATACACCATTTGTTTTCCTGGCTGTGAATAAGAGCTGTTTTTAAATGTAAAGGCAAGTGAGTCATTAAAGCTGTTGTGGTAATGTTATGTGGGGCAGAAACTCCACAGGACTTTGCTCAGCTCCCCATGTGAGGTGAGCTCGCCTCAATTGACCTTTAAAAGCTCTGTGGCTGTCTCTTCTTACGTAAAGTACCCTTGCTCAGACACCCAAAAGTGGTCAGTCCTAGGCAGGCCTCTCTCCCCTCTGGTGAGAGCTGGAGGACTCAGCAGTTTTCCTTTCCTCCCCACAGAACACTGACATCCACTGCTGTCATCCAGTGTGTATTTTTCAGATTCCTTTTCGTTTCTGGATCCAAGACAAAGCTAGTGGTCTTTCAGTTGGTTTTAGCCAACCTCAACATAGGCAGTGTGTCACAGTTAACATTTATTTAACAAAATCTATACCCTGCCTTTCTGCCCCTTATCAAGGTCACCTGACTCCAGATGCTACCAAACACCATCAATAAACAACTAGCGTGTGTTGGTGATCCTCACTGAGCACATATTTCTATGGAAATAATTAAGTCGATGGTGGCAGTGAAGATTCAACGAACATACATGTGTGAACTGGCCTGTGAGCTGCATCCTTTCCTAGGGAAGGGCAGACTCAGCCACAGCTATACCCCATTATTAACATGATACAAGCATACAGAGCATGATCACCTTTATATTTAGGTTTAACGCGACCACAGTCTCTTCTAGCCTATTTTGATTTCCTGACAGTTCCACGCTACAGACGATTATTTATGCTGGCTAGATTGAATGCTATTCAATCAGGGGAGCTACTGGGACACTTAAATAAGGTGCCTTCCTCTGAGCGACTGTGCCAATGTGGTTCTGGCCAAATAGACACCCTTCAACACTCTCTATTCAACTATGATTTGCTTAACAAGACAAGAGATAGTTGGAAAGAATATCTAGGTGTGAACTGGATAATTTTAGGTCTCTTTTAGCAGGGGTGACTTTTGATATTACTTTGGCAGTTGCCAAGTTCTTTTCTCAGTCGATTACGATTAAAAATTATTAAATTTTATATTATATAGATACATCTATTATACATTTTTTTAGTCTTAGTGTAACCCTACTCAGAGCCAAATTGCCTGTAAGAGCAACATCATTAAAGTATTAGTAACATGCTGGTCTTGCAGCTGCAGTTGCAAGTACAACTGATGTAGAACTACGGCAGGGAAAAATGCATCATGGGTCTACTGGTGCAAACCACTCTAGCAATGTATCATCTTTGCTGACTTCTAACGTGTTCCCAGCCAGGCCTGATTTATCAACCTGGGGGTGGCTTATGAATCCCCAAGCAGCCTGAGGCCGTGATCTCATAAGAACATAATAGAAGCCAATGTTGGACCAGGCCAATGGACCATAGAGTTTTCCCTCTGATTGTCATGGCCCCGTCCCCAGCATGCTCGGCGTCCTAACGTCACTTCCTGGTGATGCGCACGTCGGGGCGGGGTTCCCCCTGGGGCCCGATCCACCGGCGGCGGGGAACGGGCTTCTGGGGCAGGGGTTTCCCCGCCCCCCGGGGGGACTTGGCAGCCCTAGTTGTACTTAGGCTTCAGAAGGGCCTTCCCAGGAACTGCCCTTGGTCCTTGCCTTTTTGGTCTCATCCCAAGGCCTTTTGTCTTTTGGTAGGCATTTGGAAGTTGCTATTTCCCCCCTAAATCACCAATGCTATCATCTGGGGGTTCTTTTCTGCTCCCTGGTTTCACTGTGATGGTTTGTTAAATTTTGTGATTTTTTTTAAAGGTTTTCTTTATATCCTGTTAGCTGTTTCAAGGGCTGTATAGCATCAAAAAGCAGGGTATGGTGATTCCAAGGAAATAAGCAAAATAAGGAGAGCCCAAGTGGACTTCCTCCTTATTCTAGTCCATCAAATGTACCTGGAGCTATCCTGAATGGGACATTCCGGTTTCACCTGCCTGCATCTTCTTCTCTTTTCCCAGGAGAACTACACATCCCCGCTGGTGGCCGTGCAGTTTACTCTTAGAAAGAACCACTCCATCCCCATAGAATGTCGCCTGAATGGAGTAGGCATCATCAATAATGTGCACAATGACCGGTTTTTGGGGAGAATTAATTTCGTCGCGACTGTCGATTACTAGACCAGAGAAGCACCTGCTAGTGGGCATTTATTTCCCTTCTTTTTATGGCAATCAGATCCTCTCTCTTAATGGAAAATGACCATAAACAAATGACTGGAAAGTTCAGGCTTTGTTTTAGGGTACTATTTACATTTTCTTTTAAAAAGGAAAGCCCCAAAATAATATTTCATAAATTATTTACTGTAGTACTAAACAAATCATTCATCCTGCAAACAGGCACACAAGTCAGGAGAGAGCGTTATTCTTTGTTTTTAAAAACACACAAGGTAGTTCAAGTAGGTTTCCATGGCTGCATAAAAATGGCATTCAATATCAAAGTGTCATTTTTTAGACCACTACATCAAAGTTCTATGGAGCCATATGTATTCATTCACCTTTTTTTTTTTTAACTTTACAGTCCTGAATTTGTTTCCCTAACACAAGTGAACCAGCTGATCACCCATTCTCCACCCAACATAGTGTGCTGTTGTAGGCACTCCTTTAGACTTGCACATGGGAGACTGGGGTTTAAAAACCTTCCCTTTGGATTTTTAAAAAATAAAATTAGTAGCTGTCACCAGAAACTGTCACTCTGTGTATAGCCCAATGTTCAGGTCTCCCCATGGGAGACTGGGGTTTAAAAACCTTCCCTCTGGATTTTTTAAAAATAAAATCAGTAGCTGTCACCAGAAACTGTCCCTCTGAGTACAGCCCAATGTTCATGTCTCCCAAATTCTAGGCTGTTTATATGGACACCGGTTCTGAAGTTATAAAACCTTGCAAGAATGGTTAGCTATTCATAAAAGGATGATGGTGTTAATACAGGCAGAACTCTCCCAATCTAAAACTTTTCATGCAGAGGCTTCAGCCTAGAAGGACACAAGGGCCACCCTTGTTTTCAGTAATGTTTTTCAGGCTCTGTTCAAATGCTGGTGATGAGCTACAAAGACCAAGGCTGCGGTCCAGCATATCTAAGAGATTGCCCCCACTCCCGCATTCCCCCAGAGGGAATGGCCTCTCTAAATGTAACTTCTGTAATCGTGTCAGGACTGCTGTGCTGCACACAGAAAGGCAGCCTGAGAGTGGCTCCCCACTTCCCCCTGCAGACTCACCATAGCCCAACTTAGCGGGTTCCTAGAAATTTTGCAGTCTCTTTTATTGTTCTTGCTGGCTGTTTGTAGCCAGGGAGAGGGCAAGATGGGGTTCAACCAATGCAACTGAGAAGTTTGTCAGTTAACATATTTTTACTTGCTGCATACACTTTGGACGGGGTGGCCTATAAATAAAAATAAATCCGTTAATGTACACGTTTTTCTTGATATGACAACTTAACTGCAGGAGATTGAAACAGGCTTGCGATGCAGTAGGAAAAGGGGGAGAGGAAAGAGATCGCAGTATGCCAGAGGACAGCTCAGTATTGCAGCACATCTCCTGCTTCCTTGTGTATGGGTAAATGTAAATAAGCTTTCTAGATCATGGTTACAGGCTTGCGACTGGTGCATGCTGTAACACAAGTGTGCCAAAGAAGATTTGCTGGTAGTTTAGAATGAGCAAGGAGGATATGGTGAGGAAGACAGATCTGTTGAGACCCCTGGGAGTCTACTAAATGTGGGATATCAGGCATAAGGGCAGCGGCCTTTCCAGAGTCTGTAAGAAGCCCAACAGTGGCTCAGCGCCCCCCAGCCACACAAATTACTGAACCATTGCCTGGGCTAGGAAACCAGGGCCCTTGACAGAGCGAATAGCTCCAATTCACCCTTGGTGGCTGCTTCATGTCCTTGCATTACTTTGGGGCTATCTTGGGTGTGGGGAGGAGCAAGACTTTTCTTTTTTTACAGTTCTCCAAGATGTAGCAAAAGCACACACGTGCTACAATTCTGCAAGCATATTCATGCTCAATGTGCAAGCATATTCATGTTCAAGACCTCCTAAGGTTGCAGGAATATTTTTTGTTTTCATATTTAGCATCTCATGGACGAGTAATTGATTTTGTGTTAACATTTAAAAGAAAAAATTATATTGGGGAAAGGGGGTTAGCTGTGTGCATTTGAATATGATACACCTCAGCTAAGTAGCTTCTTACTTTTGGTGCCATAACTCAACTGGGAAAATTAATAGCAAGGGGTTTGAATGTACTTTTCTGTACACTGGCTGACACCCTTGACTCCATGGGAAAACACACTAAGGTAAAATTTCTTTGGACTCAGATTTACGGACATCAAGCAAAATTGGATAATCAGAGTCACTTTTATTGTTGTTATGTGCTCATGTCTATATTCAGCAACTGATTAGTACAGTCTCACAAGTTACTACTACTATACATTACAAGTTATACAACACCTTGAAAGTGATTGCTTACTGTTGGTCTTTAGAAGAAGCCCAAAGGAATCTTGATCAATTGAAGGTATCCTATAGGGATATGCCACACCTTCAGCATGTGGTGGATCAACGAATTCAAGTGAGATGGATAAAGTATCTGGGTCCCGAGACCTTCAAATGCCACCATGCAGCTGATATGTGTGTGCATGCACAGGCATATATGCAATGTGCCACAGGAAGCAGGCGTGGGTGATTCCCTCATAAACCACAGAAGAAAAAAGTGAAATCAGGCTTGCGATGCAGTAGGAAAAGGGGGAAAAAAAGGGGGAGAAAAAGTGAAACAAATACCATAACAGCAAATGGGAATATGTTAAGAGTACTAAGTAAATGGAAACAGCCCAAACAACTGGTCCTACTACATTCTGGCCCTAGGTCCTAGGAGAATGAAGCTGTCATCCAGAGGGAATCTATTTAATTGGGCTTCCTGGGAGAGTCGATGTCCAATTAAGAGACAAGGAATGCTGTCCCATTGCCACTTGGAATGTAGGGAATGGACTGTGACCTCCCCCCCCCCATCCAGGTGGAAGGGCAAGGACAATGCACTCTCCTTTCATTTGTGGAGCCAGCCAGGAAGGAAGGAGGTCAGTCAGCTCCCTGAATGGAAGGCTGCCCTGGTGACTGAAGCAAAGAACAACTCAGCCCTCTAGGCCGGTTCACCCTGCCTCTCAGCCATCTTGGGACAGACTTGCTGTTCTTCATGTTTTTCACTGTTGTGCCTTCAGCTGCCCACCACAACAACCCAATATTGTCTATTTTGCCTGCCTCTTCCTACAGAGATGGGCTTTGCTACACTCCATGTCAGGCTCAACAGAAGGGGGGGGGGGCGTGAAACAAACAAACAAAAAAAGATGTGCACAGAAAAGTTTTCTTCCTTTGGAGTTCTACACAAACAGCTGTAGGCATCTGAAGTGAATGAAGTATTCTGGGTTTGAAATATCTTCTCCTGGAAACATGAAATCAGATGAGCCTACATTTTTTGCTTAAACGGAAACCTCAGATTTTCAAGAAATGGAATTCTGCACTCAGTCCACCCCCTTTTTCTGGAGTTTTTAGCAGAACTGCAGTTGACATGCAGTTCTACTTAAAGAGTTTCTTCTATGGGATCCTTCTTCTGAAGGAAGCTGAAACTATGGCACTTAGCTTCCTTCTTGCTAAAAGACAAGTGAAAGACAGTGTTTCCAGTGTAGGAAGAAAGTGATGACCCTGGATTGCTCCCAAAAATCTGGGGAGCAGTGAATACATATTAATGGAAGCAGTCTGCTACGTCCATTTGGAGATAGCAGTGGCAAATCAGACAAAATCATGCCAGTCCTCATACTGCCAGAATGTACAAAATCACAGTGCTGTAGGTATTCACGTCCTGAATGTTGATAACTTCCTGAGAACTTCAGGATGACCTGATCTCCATATTTGTGCTTCCCACATTTGTTAAGAATTCCACACAATAATTCTTGAATTGCAATAATGGCTCAGTCCTCAGTGAGGTGGTTATACACAATCTCACACAGCTTCTGCCTTTCCCATCACCAAACCTTGTTGCACTAGTTCATGACCAATGCCCCCTCTAAGCTGTGGAGTCTTGTGAGCAAAAGTTCTACTCTGTGAGCTACTGGCATTAAAGTTGTGAGTGAGCGATTTGGCTGCTGCATAAATTACTTTGCTCTGGAGCCATCCTTCCTGAGCGAAGACAGAAATCTGTGAGCTGGAGGCTAAAAAAAGTGAGCTAGCTCACACTAACTCAGCTTAGTGGGAACACTGTTCATGACCCTCTTCAACATCAGGATTTGGAGAAAACAATGTCAAGTGAACTGGTCTGAAAGGAAAACTTGCATTTGTTCTAGATTTTTGTTGGGTGAAAGCTGGCCTGAGATCTAGGTTTACATTTGAAGGGGATATCAAAAACTGCTGTGAAAAGAATTGCATCGGTAATGTCTAGCCTACTAAGTGAAGGTTCTCCAGGAAGTTATGCTTGATAAAGATCCAGCTTTGCTGGGTCTTCACCCAAAGCGATGCAACAATATGCAGTGTCCCCTGTAACTTTGGTGGGACTCACCTGCTCAACCAGGGCTTTGTAGGAACAGCATCTCCTGGGTGGCTTCCTGAGATTCTGCTACAACATGCAGCTGGAAAAAGAAACGATCTGGTCCCATCTAGCATGTAAGCTCCTGCACTGTTACATTCCTTCTGTCCATTGGATTTGAAAAACAGCAACAGAAGGGCTAGGATCCCAAAGAGCTACTTAGAATTTGCCAAGAACATGAGAGCAACCAGTGATTTTACTTTTTTCTTGGAATACAGCTCCACCCTCATCCCAATACTCACTGCTGTATCACACACTATTTTGGGAAACCCCACTCAGTTACAGAAGCCGTTTGCCAGGGGACAAGGTGAGAAAATGGCAGGGGCACTCGTGTTCCAGTAACTCAAGTCCCAAAGCTCCTTTGGAAGGACGGAGCTAGTAGCAGTCCTGCAAATCCTGGCTGACCTGCTAAACGGTCTAAGCAATGAGTAAGAATGTATTTATTTTATTAGATTTATACTCCGCTCTCCCCACCAAGGCAGGCTCAGGGCGGTGTGTTTATGTAAAGCACCCCAGAAGTTCCATGCGTTTTCTGTAGACGTTTAACCCCCTTCATTTGTTCTGTCCCTCAACTGTATCCCAACACCAGTGTTCCCTCTAAGGTGAGTTAGTGTGAGCTAGCTCACAGTTTTTTAGCCTCCAGCTCACACATTTTTGTCTCCGCTCAGGAAGGAGGGCTCCAGAGCCAACTAAGTTATGCAGCGGCCAAGTCGCTTGCTCACAACTTTAGTGCCAGTAGCTCACAAAGTAGAATTTTTGCTCACAAGACTCCACATCTTAGAGGGAACATTGCCCAACACATATGGTTATGGTGTTAGGACTAGCCCCTGTCACACCGGTAGCAGGAGGATGTTTCTTTGGAACAGTTTCTTCAGCACAAAAGAAGAAGAAAAACTTACCATGTGGGAAAGCGTGCACTGCACCACAGCCCAGGTCAGCAGCTGGCTCTCCCAATCATAAGCACAGATGCAAACAACGTAAACATTTTTTTACTGTTAGAAAATCATGAACTCATAATCATATGTTAAAAAGGGAAGTGGGGGGGGGAGGGAGAGGTCAGCAGAAGCAGCATAAAAAAGGTCATACAGATTGATAGCCAGAGCGATTTTTCCGTCTTGCAAGCATGTAACAGACACCACCAAGAATGAGGAGGAGACCAAGCACCACACCCACCGCCAGAGGGATGACAAAGGTCAGGTCAGAATTGCTACACTCTTCCGCTGCAGGAAGAAACATGTGAAAAAAGGAAGCAAGGGAAAGAAGTTAGTGAAAACAAGCACCGGACAAGACGAATTAGCCAAGCATGAATATATATATATATATTTGCTAAAAAAGTTATATTTTTCCCAGTTTCACTTTATTCCCTCTCCAGCCAATTCATCGTTGGGACTTTACTTACCAGAATTACAGAAGAACAAGAGTCTCAGCTGGGCTTTGGCTCTCCAAACAACCCTTAAAATGAGAAATCCCCCAACTGTTCAAAACAACGCCTGTCATTTCAACAGCATGGCTTTGTTGCTATTTCTTCTCTTGGTAGCCCACAGCTCTGATGCTGCTGCCTCCAGCTTGAGCAAACCAGGGTGTAAATAAGGAGACCGCTGTCATATCTAACAAGTCGCAACGTTTTTAAAAAAGTGTGCTGCAGAATGTCTCAAGCTTTACCAAACAAGCTCATCATTCTCAAGCTTTACCAAACAAGGATTTAGTGTCCTCTTTAAGAGACAAGGGAAAGCTCTGTCGAAAACATCTCTTCACAACACCTGTGCAGCCGATGAACATCAGGAGATGACTCAATTGCGAACTTCTCAGTTGCTCCTTTGGATCTGTATAGGAGCTCAGAGGCAGGGGATGGTTTCAGGGTTTGGGGGTATTTTTTGAGGGGGGGGGGTGAAGGAGAAGATGCCACTGAGAGCTTCTTTTACCTAGTGGGGGGTGGAGGTGGGATGCGCACACTGAGGAGGCTCCCTGGGGTCCCCCTGCCCAAAGGGCTTGCACAAGCCAGCATCACAGCAGGCAAACACAACACTGTATTGGAAATTTCTATATGCTTTCAACCAAGGCTAAAACAGAAGCCTAGCTAAGACGACAGGGAACGCAGAGACCCTACGATGCCCTTTAAGGTTTTGTATCCAGTTACCTCACACTCCTCTGTGTGTCACTTCGGCCTCGAATCCCCCTTTCCAACTGCCCCATCTTGTACCTGCCAGAATTGGCTCTGCAGGAAGGGACAGAGGACAGGGCACCTGGGGTTGCGTTAGGTGCACTGACACAGACTTCCCTATGGCACCTCACCCACAGAAAGCAAGGACTTCCCCAGGCAACCAGGCAAAGAAGTCTAGCCAGAGAGCCAGTGTGGTGCAGTGGTTAGAGACCTGGAATCAAATCTGGGAGATTCAGGTTCAAATTCCCCCTCCCCCGGTGCCTTGCTGGGAGATGTTTGGTGGTCACTCTCTCAGCCAAATCTACCTCACAGGGTTATTGCAAGGATAGAAGTGGAGAGGCACAGAGAATACAGTACACTGCCATGAGATCCTCAGAGGAAGGCTCCTGTAATAATTAAGTAACCAATCAAACTTGTTTCTTTCTACGCCAGCACTACGATATAAACAGGCAGTTGGACTACTGCAAATGTTTGTGGTCTACCATCTGTGGGCATATTTGCAAGCTGCCCCTCCCCCAAGCTGTTCTTCCATAAAGAAACTCAAAGTTTGCAAAATGAAGAATTTAATTTTACAATGTGCCAAAACAATGCGAATCCATTTACAGAACTCCAGTGTTAGCTGGGGGCTGCACAAACCAAGAGGTCATTCAAAATACCAGAGTTTGATTCTCCATGAACAATTCACTTCTATCTCCAGTGAGAAGGCAGAAGAAACACTGGCAGTTTAAGAGTTACCACTCTGAAAACTGCCAGGTTTCTGTCTGACCTGCTGTAGGCAGTCTCCTCCAGGTCAAAAAGGGCCAGTGCAGGGTCTGTGCTTTGTCTGCCTTTGGCAATGAATGACACAGCTGCTCTTCTGCTGCAAACTGAACAATAGCCAACAATTCAAAATAGCAAGAGCCACAGCTCCAGGAGGCAGGCCCAGGGTAGGGTCTTAAAGAGGCAAGTGGGGAAAAGCACCACAAAATATCACACTCCAGAGGCTGTACTTGGCTCCCAAACCAGGTTTTTAAGCAAGGAAGTTTATTACTGCACTGTCCGCTTTTGGAGCATGGAGGACTAGAGACACAGGCTCCTAAGGGCAGCACCCAGTATCCAGCATATTACCAGTTTCTTCATTTTTGGTACAGGGGTTCATGGTCGAAGGCCACGTCTACAACTTATGTTAAAACAACATACTGAAAATGTCACACTGCTCTAGTGATAACCCAAAGGCACATTTATATTAGAGAACGAAGGGTTGCTTTGATAACAGTTATCCAAAAGGACTAATTGCTGTTTTAATCTTCATTTAAAACTTCTGTTCTGCCTTTCTGCCTCGCCCAATGGACCTCAAAGCAACTATTTTAGTAAGTGGTACACAAGGGTGTGGAATTAGATTGAGCAAAAAAATATATCAAATGAATCAAATATGCCATTATATGCATACATTATTAGAGACATTTTGTAATAAGGCATAATTCCGGCTGTTGTTCACAAACATTAGAACAAAGCTACAGCACTCTGTTTACATAATGGCAGCAGGTACAACATCCCCTGGGAATAAGGACCACTTCAGGTATTCATGCTGGTACACTCTAGGCTTAGTGCAACATTTGGAGAATGAAGACTTCATATACACAAAGGGAGGTGCAGTGGGAGAGTACCCATAAGCCATGCTCCCAGTCGTCACCAGCTGAAATAGCTCAAATGTCCATACACATCTGATCCACAAACTTGTTAACATTTTGAGCACATACCTCATTTCCTGTGGAAGGCAAACATAAGCAGGGCATATCTCCTATTATTTCCCGACTGTCAGAATAACGTTTCACCACACAGCATTCAAACAGTTCCTCAAACTAGTCCATAATTCCACATATCAGATTCAAACAAGATAAAGACCCATTTGCTTACTTGGGTTTTAGGCTGGTGCAGACACAACTGCCCACAGGCCATGGCCTGCAAATTGGGACACGGCTTTGGGAACATGGGCTCCTTTCTTCTCTCCCTCCCTCCACCAACTGCACATCTATTTCCCTCTCCCTCCACCAACTGCACATCACACATGTGCCAATGTAAATGACAGCTGGAATAAAACAGGTTCCCCAGTAACCGTGGCTTAGGGTGCTAAGTGAAACCCATATGTAACACTGGGAGGCAAAGGGGGTGGAACTACTAGGGAAGAGGAGGTAAGCAAGTATTCACAGAGCTGGCTTCCAAATGTGCAAGCCATGGTTTGCAAGGAGCCAGTGTGAATTCTGCACCAGGCTTCAAAGAACAGGGACATCTGCAGCCACCTTTACCATCACAGTGTTTTGGCACTGCAGTGACCTGCTTTTGAAAACAGCATATTTGGCCTAAGACCAGTCTCCTGCAATTCAACACAAAATGGTTGCAAACCTATTCATATTAGATGACAACTCAATATGCAACAGTTGTTTTCTCTTTGGATCCACACATGTCCACATGGATCTTTTCCAAAACTCATACATAAGAATGGAAAACTCTGCAGGTGCAAAATACTCCTCAGCGGGTTGAAAGAGGAAAGTGTTCAGCCTGAAGTGCATCCTGTTTTTAAAACTGCTCGTAGCCAGACCCACGATGTTTTCGGCGACCAACAAAATAAGCCATGAAAATGAGACACACTAATCCCGCCAGGGCGGCTGCCACCACAATAGGCACAAAGAAGTTGTCCACCTCTGGGCTGCAGTCTTCAGCTGGATAAAGAAAGGGTAATGAGTCAGGTTAAGCCCCTGAGCTCCCCTCTCAGAGAACGAAACAGTTTTGCGCGCTTCCCATTTAAAACACTAATTGTACATTCACCCATGTCAGAATACGCTACCCCAAGAAGAGCCCAATTGGATAACTCTATAACTTAATTTGTGACAAGGACAGAATTAGTATTTTCTTTTTTTGTTGTTGCAAAGATCTGTCTCCATGTAGCACGGGATTTTTGCTTTTTCTAGAACTCAGTTTAGAAGGGAGACAAAATATTCTCAGAGACAATGGTGAACAGCTTTGTTATGTGCAGAGTATTACCATGAAGTGGAAAAGACACTAGGCTGCCCCTCCATACATCATCCAATTAGACCCAGATCAACCCAGCAAGGAGGCTCCTGGAAACCCATGCAAGAGGCACAAATTTGGGTACATGATGAAGAACCACCACCAACTCAACTCTACTTTTGCTCGGCATTTCCTGAAGTTGCCAGCCGCAAAGCTGAAGCCTGAAGGTGCTCTACTAGTTCTGGTGCCCCGCCCAGTGTTTTCAGAAAATGAGTGGATGGGGCTTTTGCTAAGGAAGGCTTGTGATTGGCTGAGATTTTTTTAAAAATGTTGCTTTTGGAGCAGCTGCCGACATCGCACAAGGATTGTCACTGAGTGATTGAAGGTAAGCTGTGTGTATATGCAAGAAAATATTTTAGAACAGTATATTTTAAAAGGTATCCTGTTAAAAAGAGCTCCTGCCTTAAACGTAGACAACGTACCGTTAAAGATATGCATGACCTTACTCCCTGACATTTTGAGGTTGCCTCTGCCTCCTGCGATGGCCATTTTTCAGTTACTCACTACCCTGTGTCAGAATCCTAAAGGAGAACGAGGCTCAAAAAGTTTGGGGACTTCCTACACTATTGCCTGAGCAAAGAAGTAAATAGCAGATAAGTATTTGAATTTGGGTCACACGGAACATACATTTCTGGAAGCACAACTACAGAAGGTACAAAGTTGGCTACAAAAAATGCAATAGGCTCCCCAAAGATTGGCCCATTCACCAAGTTTCACTTTTGTCTTAAAGGTGCCACTGGACTCTAAATTTGTTCTACTGCTTCAGACCAATACGGCTGACTGCCCGGTTTTGTCCTTCTAGATATATGTACTGATATGATCTTGCTGGTTATAATTAATACTGCTTCTTGGGCAACTAGCTTGCCTTTTATTACTCACCTTGGACAAATTTCACCCATTTCCATCCTACCTGTCTGCAAAATGGCAGCCAATCAAAAGGGATGAGAGTTCCAGAAAAAAAGTGGTTAGGATCCCAGTAATGGCAGGACATGTACTCCGAAGTCCACTCTCCCATGCTACCCGCTAACAAAACATTGTTCAGCATTCACTCTTGTGTAAGATACTGCAAATAGGTTTCCTGCCACCAGGACCACATGACCTCGTGTTGTCTTTTGCATATATCAGGTGACTGGAAAATGCCCATCACTATCACAAATTGTATGGAATACAGACCTCAAGCATGGTATGAAGACACACACTACCACTTTATGGCTGAAGTTAAGCAGGTAGTAGCTTCCACAAGCAGTCTGGCTAGGAGACCCACCCAAGAACTATATACAAGCCACTCTAAACTCTTTGGAAAGAAGTGTGTGTGTATATAACAGAGAGAACTGCAGAGTTGCAGCTGCAAAATCTGTAGTGGGTGGTTTCAAAACCTGTCCCTCCCCAACTCTGGTAATATGATCTGTGAGCTACTATGGAGCAAGAATGGATGGCTGAAAGCTGTATGTAGGTAGAATCTATGGATTCCTGGACACAGCCCACAGAGACTCATTGTGTCTCTGACTAGTTTACCACTATATTTGCATTGTATGGTACAGATCAATGTTCTACAAAAAAAAGGGTCAGGGGGACTTCGAAACCAGGAAGGGCTTATATTTAAGACTATCAAATTCAGTTTCTGAAGGTTCTCTTCAGAAGCAGGTGGAAGAGTCAAAGTAAAAAGAATGCAGGGACACAAAATATACAGTGAGAAAATAGACTCGTTGTGGGACCAGAGCAATGCTCCCTCTAAGCTGTAGAGTCTTGTGAGCAAAAATTCTACTTTGTGAGCTACTGGCATGAAAGTTGTGAGTGAGCAATCTGGCTACTGCATAAATTAGTTTGCTCTGGAGCCATCTTTCCTGAGCTAAGACAAAAAACTCAGCCTAGAGGAAACACTGGACCAGCGCTCGTGCAGGATCAACAAGTAATTGAACTGTGGTATTTTCCACCAGGAGACATAATGATGATTATGAATGGGCAGATTCATGGACGATAGGGCCATTGATGGCTGCTGGCCATGGCGACTGAAAGGAACCTCCGTTTTCAGACACAGCAAGTCTCTGAATACCAGTGCTTGGAGGCAATGTCAGTGGAAGGCTTTGGCTCTGTAGCCTCAGTCTGTTGTTCCTTCAACATAGCTAGTTGGTTACTTTGTGAAACTGGGTGCTGGACTAGGTCTTCTGCAGCAGATCTGTGCTTGCATCTTCTGCAATGGTACATTTTAAATGGAGCAGCTCACTTCTGTGACTGAGGAATAATCACATGCCAAGAGCTTCAAGCAGGAGGATCATCTGACGGCTGGGCAGGGAACTTTTCCCAGCTCAGTCCTGCAGACAGTAAGAACTGCTTGGACTCTTTTAAGTGAAATTGCAGTGCTCCTGTATACCATGGGTACCACTACTGCAGAAAAGCCAGGTATCAACACAGTCTCCTGCAGAATACGGCAAGGTCAGTGGTGGTCCCTTTAGCTGTTTCAGGTCACATCTGGCATAGCCTCTTCTGGGACTTGACTTTTTTTCTTGCTACAACAGATATGTTACGACTGGGCAGAGTGGCTTGGACATTCGTCACAGTCATGCAACATGGTATTACAGTCTGGCTTTTGTTAGGATCAAGGACAAAAAAGCAAGCCAGTCTGAAAGGCAACTATCCCCCATTTACTTTTTAAAATATTTCACAAGGGTCACAAGCAATGTTCCCTCTAAGCTGTGGAGTCTCGTGAGCAAAAATTCTCCTTTGTGAGCTACTGGCATGAGAGCTGTGAACGAGCGATTTGGCTCCTGCATCAATTAGTTGGCTCTGGAGCCCTCCTCCCTGAGCTAAGACAAAAATCTGTGAGCTGGAGGCTAAAAACTGTGAGCTAACTCACACTAACTCAGCTTAGCGGGAACACTGGTCACAAGTGCTAATTTCCCTAGAATATACTTAAACTGAAGTACTGTTTGTACTTCCAGAACATGCAACCTGCTCACTTGCAAGCCCATCTCCAATTTTACTGGTACTTTCCAGACTGTACAGGAGTTTGGCTATTTAGAGAGCCTGACCTTAGCAGATCTGACAGAGGACATTAGTCCAAATGAACAGCCAGTTACAGGAAATACAAGCATTCTGGATCCCAGCCAGGCAGTTTTGAAGATGGACAGGGGAGCTAGTGCAGCAGTTAAGAGTGTCTTGACTGCAACTCGAGAATCAGATTCTAATCCCACTCTGCCTTGTCAAGAGCTATAGAGAAGATTTGGGCAGGAGGAGGGAAGAGGACAGACCATGATTTGGATGGCTGGACCAGCTTGATGGAAGAGCTGTTGGCTTACAGCTAATGTGGTGTCGTGGTTGGAATTGCAGAAGATCTGAGTACTCTGAAATGCTTAATGGATAAAGCTGAGTCACTGGCCCAACTTAATTTATTGGGCTGCTGTGATACAATGGCAAAGACAAAACAAAGTATGCTGCTCTGAGCTTTTTGAAAAAGTTGGATAAAAATGTAAAAAGGTAAAGGTTTCCTTGCTCGAAAGCCAGTCGAATCCGACTCTAGTGTTGCGGTGCTCATCTCTGGTTCAAAGCCGAAGAGCCAGCGCTGTCCGAAGACGTTTCCATGGTCATGTGGCCGGCATGACTAAACACCAAGGCGCACGGAATGCTGTTACCTTCCCACCGAAGTGGTACCTATTTATCTACTTGCAATTTCTTGCTTTCGAACTGCTAGGTTGGCAGGAGCTGAAACTAGAGACAGGAGCTCACCCCGTCTTGCGGCACCCGGGTCTTGAACTGCTGATCTACTGACCTTCCACAGCCTGCAGTTCAGCGTCTTAACCACTTGAGCTCCATGTACTACATAGTTTTATCCTGCCTTATATATCCACCATACACCCAACTCTACTGCCACAGAGTAGGGAGGAAGAGCTTGACCATTCTATTGCATTTATATACCGCCTCTTAATGAGCTACCCCCCCCATAGGCCTACAAGCTATGCTGACTGCCAGCCACCATTTTATACCATGCAACTGCTAGACACACTCCAAGCATGAGCAATTTTGCTCAGTGGCATTAGCCGTAGGTTGCAGGACAGTGAACGAAGAGTGACATAGAAATTGCAAGGGTTTTCAGAGAACCTGAAGTCACCAAAGCACTCAGCTTACAAACAGGCTCCCCCTCTCTTCCAACTTCTTTTAACAGCCTGTTAATATGGCAGGAAATCAGGTAGATTTGTGAAGAGTCTTTTAAACAGCTACCCCTCTCCCCCCCGCCTTGCCAAATAGGAGTAGTTCTTTGGACTCTGACTACAAGATTACATCGGATGCTATCAACTGTTTTGGGCAGATGAAAAAGTATGCCTTTATCTGGTGATGAATGGCTTAAAAACCTGCCTGTTCAAGTATGTGGGATGTTTTAAAACTTGAAAACGGGATGTTCCTGTCAAATGGTACCCAGAGTTTAAAGTGTTCCAAGGGTAAAGCAACATTTCATTTTCATGCTAAAAGTGCCAGGCTGCAAAGCTTATGCCAAGAGAGTGGAAGCTGAGGCACCTTGTTAAGGGAAAACAACCAGGGCTTGCTACTCACACCCGGTGTTCCCTCTAAGGTGAGTTAGCGTGAGCTAGCTCACAATTTTTAGCCTCTGGCTCACACATTTTTGTCTCACCTCAGGAAGGATGGCTCCAGAGCAAACTAATTTATGCAGTAGCCAAATCGCTTACTCACAACTTTAATGCCAGTAGCTCACGAAGTAGAACTTTTGCTCACAAGACTTAGAGGGAGCATTGCTCACACTCTATTAACTATCTTTCCCTCAGGCATAGCTACTAATCAGATCCAGAGCAGAGGCTAAGCTAACTTTAGACTCCTGCCTAGTTTTACCAGCATAACACAGGTGGACTGGCCGATGTTTAAAGCTCACAAAGAAAGGATTTTTCCACATCCAGGATCAGATCAAGGCTCACTTAGTCCAACATTCTTAGATGTCAAACAGTATGTTCTCTGGCAGAAGTTGGCCTACGGACCTCCTGGTGGGCTGCAGACTACTTGCCACTCAGCCTTCTTTAAAGTAGTTGCCTTCCAACTATTCCAGGGAAGCTCTGTAGAAACTTTTAATATTGGAAAGAGACCCTGTGGCTGCACCAACAAGGGAACACTGGAGGAGCAGTGGTGAGATTTGGCAGCCCAGGCTGGCCTAGTACTAAGTATGCACTAGAAGAGGCTCCAGAATTCTTTGTAACTTGTACAGGGTTCTATGGCAGGTGCATAATAGACACATCATAGCAGTAGACACAAGCATTTCTGCAGAACAGGAAGTTTGAAAGTTCCCCACCTAAAGTTTTGTGATTGGTACAGCAATAGCAGAGAAGCCTTCATGGAAACCCGCCCCCCCATTAAGCAATGTAACCAAGTTTCCTTATAAATAGAAGAGTCTTTATTAAAGCATTTTGTGCAGACAGGCAATTTACAACCATTAAGTAGAAATACAGTGTAGAAAGAATTTCAACAGATTAAAGAGGACAGTGGTGTTTTAGAAGTTTACATGAGCCAGTTAGCACTCGGTGAGAGAAAATGAGCCTTTGCTACCAAGCAGTTCAGCCCCTCGCTGGTTTATTATTGCGATTGCTGCATTATGGTTTTGATGTTGTTTTTGGCATTTCGGCGTTATTTGCTAAGGCTTTGAACCAATGCAATAAAGTTTATGAATGGAATGGAGTGAGAGGTACACTTGGCTGTGTTGAACTCAAATGCACTGCTGAAGTTTTCAAACAGAGCTAACTGGCTTATGCTTCCCTACTAAGAAGCAGGTGAAGAGACAATGACTACGACAGTACGCTGGCAGAGGTTTACGCTCCTCTTTGTATCTGCAAGCCCAAGAAGAAGGTCACTAGAAGAATTAACTACAAGCCAATTATTTGTTGGAGGATGCAAAAAGAAAGGCAGCCATGAGTGGCCATCTTGTTGTCTGCTCAAGCCACAAAAGTGTACTCATAAAAAAGGCTCAAACACAGCCTGAGTTTAAGTGGAATTCAATTTGTATTAATCTAGGACAGAGTATAAAAAGCTCAGTTTTTTTAAAAGACAGAGCCCAGCTCTCTGCTACACATAAGCAATTGCTTGTGCAGCAAAGTACAAAGTGCTCAACTTTAGGTTCCCTTTGCTAAAACTGTCCCCTTTGGAGTTCATTCTGAACCACAGCAATTTGTCAAACTCCCAAGAAAATTCCCTTTGATAGGCAACTCCCTTGCATGTAGAACACCAACAGCCAAAAATCTACATGTTTAATGCAGCTTGTACAGCATAATTCCGACTCGCACAAATGCAAATTCAGCAGTAGACCCGTGATCTCCCACACTGTAATTATGCATAGCAGAATTTACTGCTGCTCATGCTCTGCCCCCCCACTACACACTTCAAGTTTACCCCAAGTAACAAAAGTGTCATAATCAGCAAAACCAAGCAGCTTTAAATGCACAGCTGTACACCCAAGAACACGAACCAACTAATATCTGCTCTGTAACAGATTCTTGACAGACGCTCATGCTGTTTAGCAGTTTTCAACAGATGCTGGCTTGGACATGGAGTGTTTAACCAGGACGCCCAGTTAATGTGCAATTTAAGGGCACTTCAAGAAAATCAAACTGTTGATTTTGGTTTTGTTACAATAAAGAGAGGACCAGCTAGATGGAAGTTTCTGCTTGCCTCTGTGGGTGGTAAATAGCCACACCCACAAGATCCGGTTCTGCAGTTTTCCAGATCACCAGGCAGCATCAGATGCAGCTATTTAGGAAATGCAAACTTTAGGAGTTTACTAATGCAACAATACTCATAAAGGAAGCTTGCACACACTTGTCTTGCTTTGAGATAGTCCGTGTATGGTGCCATTACTGGGAAGAACACCACAAGCACTGTGAAGTACACTGACACCGACAAGAGCTCTGGGATTCCAAGCAGTGGTTAAAGCAAAGTAGCCAAGTTATCCTTCACTTGTAAACAATGGAATGCACAGGGCAGCAAGTACCAATCCCAGTTCTCTATTGGGTTGCTCCAATAGTCTGATTTCACTCAGGATAAATTCCCTTTTCAGACTGCTGCCTGCCTAACTGGTATGTTTTGTATTTGACATTTTTTACATTTTAAATAAATTAATCTGCAGGTTAAAACTTGTTGCCTAAATTTCACCATGCCCATTATCCAGTTCCATACATCTTGTGAAATCTTTACAGATCCAGAGACACAGCCTGGGGGTGTGTGGGATGTGCGCACGCATCTCTACGCTTTTATGGAGAACTGTGGATGTGGGTAGCTGGGTTTAGAGTCTGCCCTTGCTTGAACTGCAACTGAGAGAGAAGAGCCTCACAAGGTTTACAGTGTCTGATATCCGGCATAGCCTTTTCTTCTGCCAATTACGTAAGCAAACACTATAATGACGATCAAGATTACAAGAGCAGTGCCAACGGCAATCGGGATTAAAATGGTGTCGTCATCCAGTGAACACTCCTGTGCTGTAGGCAAGAGAGGTGGCGACAAAAGGGAAAAAGATATTGGCCGAGTGCAAATCCAAAAAGGCTTTGCCTTAAAGCGGCTAGCAAGATAAGCCTAAATCCTAGAATGTAGTCTGCAGGATTTAAGAGCCCCATTACCACACCCTTCCATGGATTAGAATGCAAATAGCCAAATGTCTCCGAGGCAACCAAATGGTTAAAGCTTTCTATCCCCTGGAAAACCTTGCAAGGTTACTTGGAAATAACTAAAACGTTTGATCTGTAATCTTGGCACATCCATTAACTGGATCAATGTCAAACTTCAAACGAGACAAAGGTTCAGAAGGCCTCTCAGGATAGGACGCTAGATGGCTATGGAGTCTTCTGGTTGGGGCAAGGACTGTGGAAGCTAGAAAAGACTGGCTCAACAGGACACTAGCGTAAAGCTTTCCTGGTAGTGTGGCAAAGCTCAGACAGTCCAACGCGACGTACTGAAGTAGGTAAATTCAATCAGAATGAAAGCTTTTTCTGAGCCGGCTAAATTACAACATGATGACTAGTGGTCACCTATAAATATTTATATATCGGTACTACTTTCTTGTGATGAATCCCCCCCAAAGTCAGAACCTACTATGTTTGCAACAAAACCTGCCCTTGCTGTGTAGCTTATTAAAGAAAGTCTGAAAAGGAGACTAAGGCTTCTTTCAAAGGACACAACAGATCTGAATACATTAGCAAAATAAACACAGGAATTTAGCCAGAGAAGATGCTTGGAAAGCTCTTTTTTTAAAAGAGTGCATGTGTGGGGCAGGTGCCTTTTGAAGGACTGAAAGACTGGGCGGTAGGAATTTCTAGTACGGGGGAGCCAGGCCTTGCTTTTCTGGATCTCTTCTGTTGAGATCTAATGGCACAGATGCTTGCTACAATCATCGCTGGTATTTTGGATAGTACCTGTAGCTCCAGTTAAATTGAAATTTGGATTCGACTTGGAATCCAACTTCTGAGGCTGGTCCCTTGGGCTCAGAAGCTAACTTCTGGTCAAGGAGATCAACGGGGTTCTTTGTTAGCTTCTATTCCTACCAGAAAGAGTAAGGATTCATAGTGACACCCCCCCACCCCCCACCCCAAACCTGCCTGGTTGGAGATTCATTCTTACCTGTAGAGTATTTGTTTTCTTTTACATCAAACGGCTGGACCCTTAGGTCAAAGGTCTTTATTCGAAATCCCTCCGTCACGATGAGAGTCTCTTCTTTCCTGCACATGTACGAACTGCCCAAGGAGGCATCCCAGTAACTGAGACTGTTGTTTACAGCATACAGAGAGCCTGGAGAAGAACAATTTCACATAATCTTACCAGCAACAGGTGTGGGATTCTAAAACCCAATCATGATCTTAATAGTGTCCTGCAGCTAGGAAAGCTTATCTTCAGTTAATCCCTTGAAAAACTGCACAGCATGAATATTCCAAACTGAATTTCTGGACAGTCAGGCAAACCCAACTCAAGAAGAACTCAGCGAGTCAGACAAGTTATTTGCTGGGTCATAGCTGATTGTTTCAAACCAGCTGGCATCTTACCATTGGCAGGACGAACAACAGTGATGTTCACCCCTTTCAGGTAGAACCTTCCCAAGCTTGTGTTTCTCTGTTTGAAAGACAAACCCACCAAGTTTGAGTTAAACACAGTGGCGACAAATCGCTTTAAGACTATTACTTTATAGATTTGCTAATGTGTCAGAAGCCAAGCAACAACAACAAGAAAGCCGCCATTTGCATGAATGAATGATTGTAGAATTGCCAGTTAATGCCACAGTTATATTTCTACACATGGCCCAAGTGCTTTGCCCTTTATTCGTGCCTGGTATTTCTCTGCCATGTTCATGTTCAGTGCTTGGTGGACTGTTGCTGAGCTCAGACAAGTTCAGCAAGACCTGGCAGTACAAGGAAATGTTTATGTCAGAAGCTTGAATAGAAGGCAGAAGAGTTTCCCACAAGCACTGCCGTTTCTAAGGCACTTCCAGTTACTTCAAGCACATGGAGAGGCAGGATATGTTTTTGTTCCCCACACTCTGGCCCCGGTCACACGGGCAGGAAAATGCACGCGCGGGGGGGGGGGGGGGGGAGAAGTGTGACTGTTTGCCCCGGAGCAAAATAACGCGCAATTGCGCGATCAGACGTCCCGCAGATGTCCTGTCCAGGTCCCGTGGTTAGGGGGGAGGTGCCGATCACAGGACAATCCTGCGGCGCGGCAAAGAAGCGGCCTCTCTAGCAAAAGGCTCCGTGAGTTTAACCCCTTCCAGGGCTGCAGAGGAAGGCAAACTGTGTCCTCCGTCCCGGTCCCCTCCAGGAGGAGCTTCAGCCGGGCCGCCCTCCCACCACGCCCCCCCTGCACCTCCCCCTCTGCTGCCTGGTGCAGAGAATTCCTCTCGAGCAGGCTGAGCCAGGAGTGGGGGGGGGTACGGAAAAGAGGAGGGGGCTGTGGAAGTGTGCGCATGCGCCGTTGGGTGCTTGTGCGCATCCCGTGGAGACTTGAAAAAAAAACCTTTTAGCGACGGGACATGGGCGGGCACCGGATGCCACGATTTACCAATGGAAACGCGATCAGGCGCCCGCCCTTGCCCCGCGGTTTCCGGAAACTAGTACCTTGGAGGTACTAGTTTTTAACCCCGCATCTTCGGTGGGAGGCCTCGGGTTCGCCCTGGGAGCTCTACGCTTCTCAGATGTGGTGCTGTGATCACGCCTGGAAAATCCACCTATCTTCCGTCTCTGTAGCGTGGCTAATGCTCCGTGTGACCGCAGCCTCTGAAAGGCAAAGAGGCTCACCCCACCCCTTAAACCCAGGGATAGATGTCAAACTAGTATTTCAGGAATAACTACACTGGTGCCCTGACCTGGATAGCCCAGGCAAGCCTGATCTCATCAGATCTCGGAAACTAAGCAGGATCTACTTTGGCAAGTACTTGGATGGGAGACCTCCTTGAAATACCAGAGGCAGTGGCAGGCTTTATTCAGCCACCTCTCTGAATATCCTTCAGGCCCCCAGTAGGGGTCAGTCACCAGAGGTCACCATGACTTCCAGGTGTACACGCACATGGACATATAAAAAATACAAAAAACCAAAAACAAACCCCACACCCCAAAAAGAGAGGAATAACTACACAGGAAGCTGCCTTCTACCAGATCAGATCGTTTGTATACTTAGCCCAATAAAGTTTGTTTTATTTCTGGCAGTGGCTCTCCATAATCTTGGAGAGATGGCTCCCCACATCATTTGCCGCTCAGTTCTTTTACACTAGAGGACCTGAATCTGGGACTCACAATGTGTTACATATGCTCTATACCATTGAGCTATGGTTCCCTCCCAGTAGTCCTACTTTAGCATTAAAGGGGCTAAAGGAGAAAGGTAATACAATGTCCACCAAAAGAAAAAAACCTGAAGATATCTCATATGCACGCAACAGTTTACTTACAACCGCAAAGAAGAAATCAATAATTATGTTGTCGCTATCATTCAGCCTGAGGTCTGCAGATGTTCTACCACAGCTACCAGTAACTTCTGTAGTGTTTGGCTGAATATTAATAATCCAGGAACTCTAAACATTAAAAAAAACCCAGTTAGTAGCCACACTTACAAGTTTCTGCTGCCCAACAACTTTTGCAGCCAGCTATGAAACTCCCCAGCTGCAGACAGTCAGCATCACCTACTTATTTCCCCAAACAGGATGGCTATTTCTACCACCTTTTCCAGTTCCAAGGAATGTACCTGGTCACATCGCTGTTGCCCCAGCTAACAAGCCTCGTTAATGTATCTCAGAAGCTTGGGCTCCCTCTACAGGAGAACTATGCTTCAGCAACCAAGACAGTACTACCAGTAAAGTGGAGTAACAGAACATTGTTGAAAGACCCCCCCCCCAAGGGTACTTTTAACCTGTGAAGCCCACATACTCTTCTCTATTCCTTTTGTGAAGCATATTTTGAGTCAGCAAGCACACAACGTACAAGTCATCCAGAAACCTTGAGATCACATTGCTATAGCTGGAATGTAGGGACAATATAAAACCTGGTCTTTGGAGATGTTCAGCTGCAGGCCCATGCTTGCCAGGAGACAGGCTGTGGCACCAACATTGACCGAGTAGTTTCCTGTGACAGGCTTCTCCCCTGCTTGGGCAGTGGGTAGAGGAGCAGGTGACAACATTGTTGTTTTAACAGTGGTGGCTGTAGTTGTGGTGGTGGTAGACACAGTTGTAGTAGATGTAGTAGTGGTGGTAGAGGCTGTTGTCGTAGGCATGGTTGTAGTTGTGGTTGTCGTAGGCATGGTTGTAGTTGTGGTAGGTATTGTTGTAGTTGTGGTTGTCGTTGTCGTAGGTGTCGTTGTAGTTGTCGTAGGTGTCATAGTTGTCGTAGGTGTCGTTGTAGTTGTCGTAGGTGTCGTTGTAGTTGTGGTTGTCGTAGGTATCGTTGTAGTTGTGGTTGTCGTAGGTATCGTTGTAGTTGTGGTTGTGGTTGTTGTAGGTATGGTTGTGGTTGTTGTAGGTATGGTTGTGGTTGTTGTAGGTATGGTTGTGGTTGTTGTTATGGTGGCAGTTGTAGGTAGAGTTGTGGTTGTAGTAGAAACAGTTGTGATTGCAGGAGGATTATTCTCAGCAGAAGCCACAACACCTTTATCACAATGAGTATCTAAAGAGAAAGATAAGAACACAGTAGTAGCATGAGCATGAAAAATACTCGAGGCAAGAATGATTCTGTAAGATGCTGGCATTCACTAAAAGCTATATCTAGCGGGTAACAGATTTCAAAATATGTTATAGCCAGAGCTTTAGTTCTGTCCATATAAACTGGCAAAGGTCAACCAGCAACTTAAACCAAGGAAAATGGCAGAAGCAGTGGTACAAAGGGTGCAGGGGTTTAGACCTGCAGTGACAGTGGTCTCAAGATCTTTGCTACCAAGCCTTTATTTCATGGTAACAGTTTTAAGCTATATCTCTGGACTCAGGGCAGGTCAAGTTATCAAATGGTTAGAGACTGAGCCAGGTAGCAGCTGCCATTCAACCCCCCCCCCCGCATAGTGCTAGAGAAAATACTTGCATACAGCTGTCTACTCACATTCTGTACTTAAGGAGCCATTCAGAAGGAAAGCCTGAAGACTGATGTTCCAGAGGTCATTTGTGACATTGCCAACTTTTACAGAATCCACATGATGACAGGTGTATACTGTATGTAACTTAATCGGATGCACAGGATAGTTTGCAGAGGTAACAACTGGTCCTGTACAGGAAGAACCATGCAAGGAGGAGTCATTTATGCATTCTGTGTACCCAGCCAAGCTCCATACCCTCTGTTCTTACACAGTACATTGACAGTGGTGGACTTCTTTTTGTTGGTCTGTTTTGGTACTGACCGATGCAGGGGCCTTATACCAAGTCAGACCACAGTATGGCCTCAGACTGGCAGCAGCTCTCCAGGGTTTTTCACATCACCTACTACCTAGGTCAATAAGATAAAACTTAATCGAGGTAAAATTACATCTGTAAGTCTTAAAACTTATTAGGAATAGTTCCTTGCTACCAAAATCTTGGACAAAAAAACCAGCAGTCTGTACAGTAACTTCTGGTGACTTATCAGCTAAAAGAAACCTAATTGCACTATCAGAATTGGCCCTAGGCAGTAAAGGCTTGATCAGAAGTAGTCGGAGATGTGAGTAAAGGGGGCAGCGTAGCAGAATATGATCTAAAGTATCAGATTCTCTGAGTGGACAATTGCAAATCCTGTCACATTTCGGGATGCCTCTATATCTACCTGAGACCCAAGATTGGGGAAAAACATTAAATCTGGCTAGCATAAAGGCTCTGTGTTGCAGTGGGATCACCAAATTAGAAAAGTATTGTGCCATACTGCTTGGTACATATCTGAGGCCAAGAGAAAGGGGGGAACAAGTGCCCCCGGCACCTGGCTAATTTTATTAGGCAGTGGCACAGGGTACTGTGCATTTTAACCATATGTCACATGCTTTCTCCATTTTTTTGAACCAGATTAGCCTCTGAAGCTACTATCCTATATTTCTCACAATGGAGCTAACAGATCTGGAAGATTGTTTAGTTCAGGAAAGTGACATGGGAAGACAGTAGGGATGTGCACTTGGCATTTCCAAGCTGAATTAATACCCAAATCATACTTCTTTGGGATTCGGGAATCATGCCTTTTTGGCATGATTCAGATATTAGTTAAGCTGCATCAGATTCTCTGATTTGATTTGGCTTACCAATAAGAGAATCCAAATTAATTAAATCTCCTAGGGTATATTCAGTGGACTGGGGGGGGGGAGAAGGGTTTGAGATAGAGGCACCGAATTTGCAGTGTAGCTGCTTGAGCCTCTCCTCAAAAGAACCCCCATGTTTCAAAAAGATTGGACAAGGGGGTCCAATTCTATGAGAACCCAAAGAGGATGTCCCCATGGTGTTTCCAATGGTGGGGAAAATAGCAAGGCAATACCAAAAGCCCAGCAGAATGTCCCAGAAAATTTCTGCAGTTGAAAGTGGAGTGTGTGGGGGGGGGACATTTTTGCAAGGCCAGCAGCAGAACCAAAACCAAACAGGACTAAGGCCAAATCTGAGAATCTCTGAAGTAAAGGGGGGCATTGCTGCAAGGACAATAGAACCAGCGCGATGTACTAGTGCCCAGCAGTGGAACCTAATGCAAATCTACTGGTGCTCAGCAGCAGAACCCAGTGCCATTGTGGCAAATGCTAGGCCAGCTCAACAGGACTGATGTCAAGCACAGAATCACAATCCAAGCAAGGGGGAGGGGGATGGCTGGACAGCAGAACCAGAGCAGTAGTGACTGCCCAGCAGCAGAACCCAGTGCCACTGTGGTAAATGGCAGCTCAACATTACTGGGCTTTTGTGTATTGGGCTGGGTTTGGTTCAGGTGGACTAGCAAAAGCACCTTCCCGCCCTGTACTTTTGAGTGTGCTGCTAGGCTTCTACTGCTTTTGTTTCTGTCAAAAAATTTTTTTTTAAAACCCTGCTGGGATTCTCTGGTGTGACATTGGTTAGTTCGGTCCCTGCCTCACTGGTGCTGGATTCTGCTCCTGGTGTGACATTGGTTAGTTCGGTCCCTGTCTCACTGGTGCTGGATTCTGCTGCTGGGAACTACTACATCACACTGGTTCTGCTATCCTTGGAGAAATGCCCCCCTTGGAGAAATGCCCTTCTGCTATCCTTGGAGAAATGCCCCCCTTTACTTCAAAGATTCTCAGATCTGACCTTAGTCCTGTTGGGTTTTGGCGCTGCCACAGTGGCACTGGTTCTGCTGCTGGCCTTGCAAAAATGCCTCTCCCTTCACTTTCAACTGCAAAGATTCTCTGGGACATTCTGCTGGGCTTGTATTGCCTTATTTTCTCCACTATTGGAAACACTGGAGGATGGGGACACCCTCTTTGGGTGCCTATAGAATTGAACCCCCGATCCAATCTTTTTGAAACGTGGGGGTTCTTTTCGGGAGAGGCTCAAGCAGCTACACTGCAAATTTGGTGTCTCTTTCTCAAATCCCTTTCCCCTCAGCCCACTGAATACACCCTAGGAGATCTGCCATTGACTATAATGGCCCCATAAGGTATAATGGAGCTGAAACATTCAGGATCCCTGAATTTTATCCGAATTCCAATACAACACCGATATTGGAATTCGGGTTTTCAAGGCAATACCAAATTTTTAAAGGTCCAAAAACTCCGAATCTGAAAAATACTGATTTTTTCCCCTGTACATCCTTAGAAGAAAGTAGAAGTTAAATATATATACCCCAGCTCAGCTTTCCTGACCAATTTAAGTGGCCCTATACAACTGCTCTGCAGCTAACCTGGGACATCTGATCCTGATCTCCAGTATTTGTTTTGGCCCCAGGAAGCCTAGGCCATGAGCTTTTGAAAACAATGCTGCATTTCACATGCAGCAGGGTCAAGATACAGCGGAAAGACAGGAGGGAGGGAGGACTTAAAAGGTAAAGGTTCCCTTGCTCGAAAGCCAGTCGACTCCGACTCTAGGGTTGCGGTGCTCATCTCCGTTTCAAAGCCGAAGAGCCAGCGCTGTCCGAAGACGTTTCCGTGGTCATGTGGCCAGCATGACTAAGCACCAAGGCGCACGGAATGCTGTTACCTTCCCACCGAAGTGGTACCTATTTATCTACTTGCAATTTCTTGCTTTCGAACTGCTAGGTTGGCAGGAGCTGGAACTAGAGATGGGAGCTCACTCCGTCATGCGGCACCCGGGTCTCGAACTGCTGAACTACCGACCTTCCACAGCCTGCAGTTCAGCGTCTTAACCACTTGAGCCACCGCAGCTCCTAGGGAGGACTTATGGTGCACTAAATTCCAAACTGTCCCAACAGAAACAGCTTAGTAGCTCATCATGATTATCCTACTGCTAGACACGGGATACAGAGTGCAATATAAATATACCATCACTTCCAATACGCTGACTCATTGTGCTCTTTGTTTTCAACTTAGGGATTCTGAAATTTGAAGCTCATGTCATCTCTGCTAGACAGTCTAATTAGAGGTCACTCTGCTTATTATCACAGCATTTACGAGCATCCAGAGCAAAAGTGTGAAATGGATTATCAAGGCTCCTTGAGGAGATTACACAAAACTTTTTAACAAATTTCAATTTAAGTGGCCAGAAAGATAATGTCTTAATCTCTCAGAACAAGATCACTTTAGCCAGAGCGGTATATGCTACATTGTGGGAGGGTAGAAAAAGCAGTAGTGGGTGTAGAAGTTATCTTGAATTTCTCTCAGATCTTTTTTTTGGGGGGAAATCTTGCTCTTATTGATGCAAAGAGATGACCGAAGCAGTATGGGAAACCCCTGCCAAAATCTTAAAACTAGATGGGGATTTCAAGATTTAAAGTCCAGTGGCACTGTAATGACTAAGCACATTTATTAGTTATGGTGTCACTGGGCTTTTATTTTGCTACACACCAACATAGCTACCTCTCTGCAATTATTGGAGTTTGAGACCTGATCCCAGCCCGACAGGAACTATGCGAAGAATCACAGCAGCAAAAATTATTACAGCAGAACCATTCAGAAATCCATCTTTACCTTTCCTTTTAGCATCTGGAAATAATTGATGCAAAGAGATGACCGAAGCAGTATGGGAAACCCCTGCCAAAATCTTAAAACTAGATGGGGATTTCAAGATTTAAAGTCCAGTGGCACCGTAATGACTAAGCACATTTATTACTTAAGGTGTCACTGGGCTACCTCTCTGCAATTATTGGAGTTTGCGACCTGATCCCAGCCCAACAGGAACTATGCGAAGAATCACAGCAGCAAAAATTATTACAGCAGAACCAATTAGAAATCCATCTTTACCTTTCCTTTTAGCATCTGGAAATAATTCTGCATCATTGGTATTGTAAATAAAGGTGATGTTTCCTTGGTAAGTATCATCTGTTTTCGCAAACTTGATGCTCCAGAAGTGTCCTGCTCCAAACTCTATTGCCAGCAGAGGGCCACTTGTTTTATCACCACATGTGCTTCCATCATACGTCACATTTTCTGGGAGCGTAAAAGCTTTGTTTTTCTGAAAGATTGCAGAAAGCACCAGTTCCCAAACAGTAAGCTTAGGTTTAATAGCAGGAGCACAAGTAATCTCTTTTAGACAAGATCTGCCAAAATGCTATAGCTCAGTTCCAGGTGGTCAGACTCCACACATCCTTTAAAATGAGATCCATTTCCTATAGGGGTTGTGAAGCTATACTTTTTCTTGAAGGCTTAACGCAGAATGTTATCTAGGACATCATTATATCCAATTCTGAAGTAGTCCTCAGAAGTG